ACTTTCTAATTACAATCAATCATCAGTCGTAAGTGACGAAAAAAAAAAGAACATCAGTTACTGTCAGGAATTGAAAACTGTGGAAAGTTATTCTTCCTAATTTATGATGTTATTTTACATTTTTATTAGAAATAATGCTTCGATAAATCAATAGTATTACATTGCTGACTTACATAATAGCATTTGGTATGCCTGCTGTTAGATTAACATAATATTTCAGTTGATTTACAAGATTTATTTTCTTTCTTCTTGTATCATTTTGTTTATGAATATATAATAAAATTAAGTCATTTACAGTTCAGAAAGGAGAGAAAATTTTTCTATTAGTTAATAGAAAAATAATCATTCTAACATGCGTTTACTCAAGAAAAATAGACATCGATATTTAGTTCTGTCATTCAGTTGATTAACATAATTTGAAAGAGAAAAACAAATTCTCTATCTTCTGAATAAGAAAAAAAAACATTTTTTTTCTTTCATCATCTTTCTATTGAAAAGAAATACGGACCGACATTTGTATCACACGTTATCTATGACCATGACCATACGATCAGATATATATATGTATATGCATATAAAACAGCAAGATTAAATCTTGTATTTAACCTTGACATAACTCTTCAATAAAATAATTACTAAACATATATTCATTGATCTATCAGATTGATAAATCGCTTTTGAATCGAAACTATGCGCATTATATATAGATCCAAATGTGCCATGAATACTTTAAAAAGAGTTCGCTTATTACTATCAAGATATCGCAATGTTATAGTCATTTTTCTCCCTCAAGAAAACACATCAGTGTTAATTGCTTGAAAGTTCGTAAAACAATTAGTAACAGTAAATTACTACTGATGATCATCTATTTTCATTGGCATGTGGATATGACTGAAGAGAAAATTCACATCATATGATAATGAATGTTGTATATATACTCTTAATTTCTAAATTTTTTATAATTCTTCAACAAATTGATTGATTAATAAATCATGTATCTATGAACTATTCAAATCACTTTTATATTTATTAATTGGACAACTTCCTTTGTTAGTTGATATTATTAAATATAAAATCTTTTTTTTTTTTTTCTTTAGGTCATCAAAAACGTTTTATGCTTGGTATAAAACGTTTAAAAGATATAAAAAAAGGTCTTTATCAAATTAATACAAATTCATCATCACAATCTTCAACAATTGTATCATCACCAAATAATCATCGTTTATCATCAAAACAATCAAATGGTTTAAATAATCGACCTAATGTTCCAATACGACAAACAAAATCTACACTTGAACGTTGTAATTCTCTTGAGAATAATAGTATATTACCAACACAATTAACTAATAAAAAGTAAATAAATATTTTTAATCGGAAATCTTATCTTTATTTTTTATTTTTTTCTAGACCATCAGTTCAATTATCTCATCTATCACCAACACGTAGAAATTCAAATGGTGATTCATCAAATTATGCAACACTTCGAAAACCTCCAATATCACCAAAAATACTTCTTAATAAACAACAACAACAACAACAGCCACAAAAAATTATTTCAAATATTAGTCCAATGACAACATCATCATTTCGTTTACCACCTCCATTATCATCAACAACAAATAATACAAATATATCAATAAATAATAATAATGATTTATTATTATCATCATCATCATCTCGAACACGTAGTTTAGAAAATATAAATTCAAATGAAAATAAACTTCCAACAATATTATTACAAAATGATATAAATTTATCATCTATAACCAATGGAAATTATATTCAATCTACAAATAAACTAACAAATCTACAATTATTAGGTGATACAAATCTATCATCAAGTACAGAATCAACAAATGGTATTCCATTTGCAAATGAAAATGTTGGAACTATAAAACAACGTTCACCACATAATCAAAATAATAATTTATATAATACATCATTAGATACAATGAAACGTTCATTACCAATACAATTTTTTGAACAATCAAATACACATTTATTAAAACCATCATATCCAATGACAACAGCTATTTATGATAATAATGATAGATTTATTTCAAAAAATATACATTCACCTAATAAACAAATACGAAAAACTTCAACACAAATTAATGGAAGAAATTCATCTTTATTAACAGGAGATAAACGTTTACAATATATTAAACAAAATAAAACAGTCAAGTAAGTTATATGAAGAAATCATCTCAAATGATTTACTATTTTTAAATTCATATTTTAGACATATAAAGAGAGAGAACAGAATATTTATCATAGGATAGGATATTGAGAACTAAAATTTAATAAATAATTAGATTTTTATGAATCTTAAAAATTTCAGTTAAAATAATTGCTGTTTTCTTGACGTATTCAATATCTAACAGCTACCGTTTTGTTGTCTAACCGTCTCTGATCTAGAGAACCTCTTTATATGTCCGAAATATAGACTCAAATATGATGCATTATTATTTCTTGTTAATGATTTTTTGTCCTTATTTCTATAGAAATGATACAACAAATGCATTGTCTGATATTGATTCAATGCTCTCTGATCTTAATCGAGAACTTGATCAAATGCTTGATTATGAACCAATGACTTCAACAAGTCGACCTTAAACTTTTTGTCAGATGTCTTATTTTGAATAAACAATATTCTGATTCAGATAGACAAATATCAGATTAATGAAATTTCTTTTTTTTTTTAAATTAATTGTCATTCTTCTTTTTTTCTTTTTGTTTTTTCGTATGTGTGTATATTGTTACATCTGATATTTCTGCCTTATTTATTTGAATGAAATTGAAACATTAACATATATATATACGTATGCGTGTGAATTAAGTCTCTCAGGAAATTTGAGAAACTATTTTTTTTTTCTATACTCGAAATCTGTTTACTTGTTCATCATCTTCTTCTTCTACGGTTTTTTTTAGTGTGTGTAATAAATAAAATGAAACAGATAGAAGAAAAATGAATTAAATCTATTTATTCAAGCAAATCGTTAATATTAGGATTGTGTCAAGTAAACATAAATTCATGTCAATCAAAATTCGAATGCATTAGTCCATGTTTTACTTATATGTAGGATATAAAATTCATTTTTTTTTCTCATGTATTCTCTCTTCAGAATAGGTATTATCTATCTTTTATGTGCTTAGTAGATACAAGAAAAAAGATTGACTTGAATAAAAGGCAATTGAATTTATTTATGAGTATCATAAATAAAAGAAAGAAAAGATTACTAGCAATAGGTTCTCTAATCTAAATGATAAAAAACTAAATTCATATGATTCCTGACAAATTCTAACCGAAGGTTACTAATTTTACAGTTTATTTGAGATTACTTGGTTAGTAGATTCTTATGATTCCTAGAACAGTACTCTAAATAGATACTACTTCACTTACATGATCGATATGAGTTAAAGTGTCTAATAGTTCAAAATAGATTAATCTTTCTTTTGTGTAATCTGTCATAGTCATTGTCTTCAATGTTAGATCGAAGTACCTAGATGATATTTCAAAAATTGATTTAATAAGAAAAAAAGTATCAACTCATCAGTGTTTTATTCAATGTGAAGGCCGAAGAGACAGTGCCATTCCGAAGATCGGGTTGGCTCCTATTCCCGTAATTTATGGTTGTTCTACCATGTCTATGTATCTATGTTCTCAACAATAGATGTTCGCCCTTTCGGAAGAATGAATCTCGATAACACAACGCAACTGATCGATCTTCATTACGTTTAATTCACATGAATGATTTACTCTTCGAAGTATTTTCAATTTATTATCGATCTGCGACAGTCATTCTTTTATTATTGTCAATTGGAAAAACAATCTTGTTTATCCGAAAAATTAATTTTGCCATTTCATATAATAGCTTATCTGATAAAAATGCTAAGGCTATAGGGACAGATGTATCTACCCTGGTGGTATTCATATTTTTTTTAGCTAATATCTTCATTATTGATTATATTATTTTTTTATAATTGTGGTGACTAAATGTTATCGATTTGTCGCTTGTTATCGTAGACTTATTTTCTTTTTAGATAGTTACAGCAGTGGACAACAAATCGATCGATGAGATCAATGCTCATTTCAAGCGGAAAAATACCATCCGGATCAAAAATGAATCTTCTTTCCATTCTGCTCATATAGGACGTCCGTCATATACATATATGCATATGTATACACATTTCATTCGTATCTTATTATTCTATTCATTTCTCCGCTGGATAACTATATGTATGTGTATATACATACAGTGGAGTGTCTAAGAAATTTCCCTATAGACAAATCATCTTTTCATTTTTCGATTTCATTTTTCCCATAGGAATGTCCATTATTACTATGAATTTTCATTTTTCCGATGAATAAGTGTCTTTATGAAGAAATAGTTATCTTGAAAGTTTTTCTATAGGTGAAATCAATTTCCAGTAGTCGATTTCATTTTTCCTATAGCTTTTTTTTATTATATGAATTGCACTTTTAACTGTTCGATAAATTTTCGGTATTGTGACTTTATTTAGAGAAGAATTTTTCACTTGCACGTCAATATTCCGATGAAAATTAACACTGTTCACACCGATCGAATCGTTGGCCAACCATCGCACGTAGAAGCTATGACTGAACATATTCGTATAAAAGCAATACCCGACATAATTTTTCTAATGCTTATCGAATTACTCCATTTTTCCTTATACATTCTTCTTATAGTATTATTCATTTTTCTTATTGATTTTCACTTTTCCTGCACGTAGAACCTATGAGTAAATGTATTCGTGTAAAAGTAATACTCGACATAATTTTTCTAATGCTTATGAAATTATTGGATTTTTCCTTGTACATTTTTCTTATAGTATTATTCATTTTTCTTATCGATTTTCATTATTCTTGCGCTTAGAACCTATGATTCAACATATAGGGATATAACTAATAGTAGACATGATTATTCGAATGCTTATGAAATTATTGGATTTTTCCTTGTGCATTTTTCTTATAGTATTATTCATATTTCTTATTGATTTTCATTTTTCGAGCACGTAGAAGCTATGAGTGAACATATTCGTATAAAAGTAATAATAGACATCATTTCTCTAATGCTTATGAAATTATTCTATTCTTCTTTGTACATTTTTCTTATTGATTTTCATTTTTCCTGTAGTTAGAAGCTATGAGTGAACAGATACGCATAAAATGAATACTACACATCATTTTTATAGTGCGGAGTGTTTAGTGGTAGACCATTTTTGACGTTAGTATCATTTTTCCGCTGCAACGTAGCATTTTTTGTCACCGATGAATCGAGTGTCCAACCCTCTCTACGAAATCAGTGCTGTTAACGACATAAATCAGCGTCATTTCATCGTTGTTTTTCGTAAATCCGTAAAGCGATAAGAATTGTAGGAGAAACAATGACTATGCGTTGGCGAAAAAAAAATGGTCTGGTAGATTACAGTAAAACACGGTGAGAACAAGCGACAATTCTTTAGCTTGCATGTTTGATTCAATATCTTCACCCTACCTATAGTTAATTTAGTTTTATAGTTATGATAAGAGTCTAAGGAACGACCTCTGTCGGTTAATCATTGGACGAAGATGAAATGTTTTGTGAATCATATACATATCAGATGTAGCTAGCTAGACTACAATGATTATGATATTCTTTTTGAATTGTTTATTTTATATAATAATTAAAGTTCATTTTAGAAAAAAAAATTTTTCGAAATAAAGTGACGATAAAAAAAATTGTTTTTTTTGTTTACTTTGTTAATTTTTGTGCAAAAGTTAATTCGCACTTTTAGAACGATATTTAGTTAAATATAATTAGAATAATGAATTCAACTACATATTTGGAACAAATACGCAATGTTAAATTTGATCCAACATTTTTACCAGTTGTAGCCACTAGTTTTATTGTATTTACAATTCTTTATAAATTTATTGATCCATTTTTATCAAATTTATTAATCAAAGATTATAGAACTTTAACTGAAATACAAAAAATTGATTGGAATACAAGGTATTTTGTTATATTTTTTTTTTAATCCCAAAAGAAAATCTAGATAAGAAAATTCTTTAGAATTAATTCATCAATTAATTCACTTGTTGTTGGTACTATTTGTGTATATATGATGATTGATGATCGTGGACTTAATGCTAATCCTCTAATGTAAGATAAAAAAAGCAAATATTATTTTATTTTCTATTTATTTGAATTTGCCATGTGTAGATATAAAAGCTATTTATTACAAACAAATTTGTCTATTGTTATTGGATATTTATTATGTGGTGAGTTATCTGAATATTTTTTTTATTTTTCTGTTTTTATCTCATTGTAAATATTACGATAAGAAGAAGGACAAAAAAGTGACTCAGAAAAATAAAAACTTCATATATATATATATATGTCGAAAATAAATTACGAGAAAACAAGTCTGATTGATATTTTATATTCATGAAATAAATAAAAGAAATTGATATTTATCTATCAAACCCTGAGATAGGTCAGCCGGTGCGAAATTTATTTGGTTTTTCCAAGAAAAATTTCTCACGTACGAATAAAAATCTGATTTTAATCCTTTTAATATAGGATTAGTTTTTGAAAAATATGTTTTGTTTTTTAATATGATGAAATATGCTGTTCAAAATAATATATCTCATTTGGTTTGGGAAGATCACAGCTATTTCTTTAATATTTTTTCAAACTGATTCATATCAAAAGTTATGAAATCAAGATTCCAACTAAGAATGAGTACTCACTGTTGCTTTCAAAGATAATTGTAGCTTGTATTTTGCTTAATATGAACAGATTTGCATGTGCTATGTTTCAATAGAAAGAGGACAAAATTTGGCGAAGAATGAATAGTTTAATACGAAAAATGCGAAAGATAGTAAATTTTAAAAGTAATTATAACTGCTCATGCGTATTTAATCGTTAATTAAGGGAAAATCTATACTCATAAGTGACTGTATGATGCAAGTGTAGTTCATCTTGAACATACAAATTTCACAAACATAAACATTTATGCATTTAATTTCATTGAATATGCATGTCGTAAGTTTATTTGTACTACCGGTAAATACTGTTGGTTAACCGTCGGTATCACATACATTACATCGAACGGTCTACGGGCGACTTCTTTCCGATGTGTATCACATGGATAACCAATACATAATATTTATAAAGGCTATTTCGATTCTTAAATTTGATATTTTATCAAAATTTTCCTACATAGATTTTTTCACTTCATAATTGGTAACAATCAAGAATCTTTATTGTGAAAATATTTTGAAAGTTTCATTTAGCTAATAAATAAAAGTTTGAGTATTTATTCGATTCAATGACATTCTTCATCTATACATGAGACAGAGTGCGCTATCTATTGCATTAAGTCACTTGAATGTCACATAGGTAAAATAGTGTTTAACTGTATACTAAAATTAGCAATGTAACTAAAAATAGTAACCGATCTGACTCATTGAAATTGATTAGTAGACATTTTATACTCGTAAAAGCTTTTTATTAATAAATGATCGTCTTCAAGATGTTCGAATATTCATGAACGCATCTTACTCTTTCAGTTCAATAAGGTAATTTAACTTATTTCTCATACTATTTTTTTCCATCGCTAAAATTGTCTGATCTTATTCAAGTTGTGATCATAATAATAATAAACTTTTAATAATAATCTAATAAATGACTACAGTAATTGTGTGAGTCTGAGTTAGTGTAATGAGAATTTTTACAGCTTTTTGATAATAATTTAATGTTATCTTTACATGAGTTATCAATCACGACGTTTAACTACAATACCTAAAGGGTTTTGAAAGTATCCATCAATCATATCAGTAGTATTTTTGTCTAGCATGAAGATCGTAGGGGCGGAATTCTTCTGAAAATCGGATCTCTGAAAAAATAGGTACTCATCTTTTCGGAAGAACGAATTCGGATAAAACATTACGTATTAGTTTTTAATTTTATGTTTGTATCAAGTATATAATTTATATTTTAGATACGATCATTGGTATAATACATTATAGAGCAATTGGAGATGCATTTTCAATGGCTCATCATTTTGTGTCTATTTATGCTTTTGCTTATGTATTAACATTAAATGTGATGCCATATTTTGCTAATTTTCGACTACTTGCTGAACTCTCGACACCTTCAGTCAATATAAGGTCAATCAGTTTGTTCACTTTTTGTTTTATTATTTTAACATTTAATTCTTTTTTGGTTTTTTTTTTTTGTAGATGGTTTCTTGATGCATTAAAATATCCTAGAACATCAAAACTATTCGTATATAATGGATTGCTCATGACTATAATTTTCTTTTTTGTTCGTATATTTGCAATGCCTATTTATTGGTGGAAAGTATATATAGCTGCTATGACACCATTATGGCCTCATATGGGTTATTTTCGATTAATTCTTCTTGTTGTATGTGTTGTACTTGATGTTATTAATTTATATTGGTTTTCAAAAATGCTTCGAGGTTGTATAAAAATTCTTACGCCTGGTAAAGAAGAAAAACATGATTAAATCATATCATGTCTCTTTTTTTTTCATTTTTGTTTTAAGTAATTCATAAATCGGTGAATATTATCTTTCTATTCTTAAATAAATAAATAATTATATAGTCAAGCTAATTTGTTAATTTATATTATTCAATTAAGACCAAAAAAAAAAAAAAAAAGAAGAACCAATGTTATCTATATTTTCTTGTTTCTTTTTAAGATGATTCCATTTGTATGGTTTACCGAAGGCAATGCAGGAATATATTTATTAAGTTTAATGACTATTACTGCAATTGTCTGTTTTCTACTTGGTTTAATTACAGAAAATTATTCACAAGTTGATAAATTATGGAGTTTATTACCACCAATATATTGTTCAATTGTTCTTTTATGTGCATCATTTCAACCTCGTATACTTTTAATGACTATTCTTGCTTGGATGTGGAGTATTCGTTTAACATATAATTTTGTACGAAAAGATGGTTATAAATGGTCAAGTGAAGATTATCGATGGCCTATATTAAGAAAAATTATTAATAATCGTTTTTTATTTGAAATATTTAATTTAATATTTATTTCTATTATTCAAAATATTCTTCTTCTATTTATTGCTTCACCAATTTTTTATATAGCATATCATCAATCAATATCACTTAATTTATGGGATTTAATTTGTACATTATTATTCTTATTCTTTTTTATTATTGAAACTACAGCTGATCAACAACAATGGAATTTTCATATTGATAAAAATACACATCAACCATGGACAAAAGATGGTTTTCTTCAAACAGGTCTTTTTAAATATTCAAGACATCCAAATTTTTTCTCAGAAATATGTATTTGGTGGATTTTTTATGCATTTACATTTTCTGTTCAACCATTTTCTTATATTAATTGGACAATTTTGGGTGCAATTTCATTGACATTATTAATACATATTTCAACAAGTTTTACTGAAGCAATTAGTTCAGGAAAATATCCAAAATATAAACAATATCAACAAACAACATCAAGACTTATACCATGCTGGTGTTCGAAGAAAGTTGATTAAATCGAATTATTTTACATTTAATCATGCTAAAATAAATTTAGATAGTAACATTTTTGACAATCAAGATAAAACTTTTCTTTTTCAATACTACAGCAAAATTAGCGTTTATAATTATACTTACATTTATTTCTGCTATTAAAATAATAAAAGCATTATATAATTTTTAGAGTTTCAGTTTTTTTTAAAAAGAATATTCATTATGACTGTCAATCGATTATTTTGAATAAGGAAATTTTTTCAAAAAACATGTTATTATGAAAAAATATATTTTATTGATTAACAGAAGATTTTAAGGAGGAAATTCAAGTTAAAAACTGTTTACATCTTAGGTCATCACTTTTTCTTGATTTTTGGATCCTCTCCTCCTCTTGTCATTTTTTTGAGACCCTCCGATGACGTCATCAGAGTGATTTAGATATGCTTTATGTTACAAATGTTCTGTCACTGTGTTTGAAATCTATACGAAAAAGCAAAGTTTATCTCCATTTTTCTTTTTCAGGTTAAGTGAAAATAAGAAGGCAAGTGTGAGATGGGTGACGAGAAGCCTGTCGGGTTGGATCCGGATACTCGAATCCGACCAGGTCTGGGCCCGACAGGTACTATCTATACCTGCGCTCCATCCATAAACAAAAGCGAATTATACAGTTGTTGATTGGGATACATAGCTAAGAAATATGTGATGTTTGGGCAAGTGTTGTTATACGTTGTTTAGTGAGAACAATACAGCGCAATTCAATAAAATTAGTTTAAACTGTTCGTTCTATTGTCTATTAAAGAACATCAGCTTAAAATAAAAGAGCTCATTTCTGATCGATCAGCTTTTTAGCCAATGGGATGATCGGATGTAAAACCTGACTTAAGGTTCGAATTTCCCGACCTGAATTACCTTTGGTGAAACTTTAGAACTTACGTCTAAATGAACTTCACATCTGATGTTTATTGACCATTGATCCGATGACAAGCAAACGGACAAACTATTTTTTTCATATGACCCTCCCTTCAGTCGAGGAAATAAATATAAAAAAATAGATTGTTTGGTTTATAGTCATCAGTAAATAAGACTTTCGTCGTCATATATGACTTAATCTTATTACAATTTCTTTGTATATTTAATGAAAAATGAGAATACAATAATAATGAAACATAACTGATGATCCATTACAGTAATGATAAGACAATATTAATATAAGCGCCATCAGCATTTTGTCAATATTTTCGTTCAAATTGTACTATGAAACAATCTCATAATGAATTCGATGATCGTTTCATAACAACTAATCAAGATTATGGTTCTTTTTATTTTGGTCGATTACAACATAATCAGACAGATCCAAATAAAATTGAATATGAATTGTCTATAAATAATCAAGTTCGAAATGAACGTCGTCAATTACCATCTATTGCTTATGATATTATGTTTGATGTGTGTTATTTAGCTTTATCTTCTCTTTTTTTAAGATATTTATTCGTTTTTTTTCTATATTTATTTAGAAACATGATTCATTTAAGTAAGAAAAAAAAAATATCTAACATTTCCATTTTTACATCATATGAATATTTCAGAATAGTTTCTCATCAGAAAAAAATCTATCAAGTAAGCTGTATTTATCGATAGAAAATGTTTTTTTTTGAGTGTCATAAGTATTCATTAGCCAGTTATTTCAAGACGTCAATTAAAATATATAAAATCAAAAAATCAAACAAATGAAGAACGACAAATCATAATAAAAAATATTCTAGAATCTTATACAACGTTTATTAAATGTATTTATCAAAATAAACCACAGGAAAATGTATGATAAAAATTGACAAAAGAAAAAAAAAATGAATGTAATCCAATTCATTTAGTTTCAAATATCTAATAGTGTATTAGAACTCATAGCTAACGAACTATTTCTCTTAAATGTAATAATATAATTCATTGAAAGTAACATATTAAAATTTCTTATATTCTATAATCTAGCCTGAAATCTCTATTGATGAACTGGTAGAATATATGATAGCAATTACAGTACCACATGAATATCTGTAAGTTATAATTGGAAATAATACAATATTTTTAAAAAAAAAACCTGATTTCTTCTCTATCATATTTTGTTAGAGGTATGCCTTCTATAGATCCTAATCAACCGTATCCAGGTACCGAAAACGAATGTGCAAGAACACCACGTCTACAACATATTCTCGAACATTTTCAAAAAGCTAAAGTATATTATAATTTTTCTATTCATTTCATTTAAATTAATAGTTTTTGTTTTTTAGAAAATGGTTGCCGATAGTAAACAACAATTTGATTCAAAAGCAATTAGTTCTCAATCTATGCTAGGCTTTAAATATATTTATAATCCTTTTGTCAACGCTAGACCATTTCGTCAATCATAACTTCATATATTTTTGTTGACATGAGAATGAATTTAAAGAAAGAAAAAGAAACAGAACATAAAAAAGAAAACTCTTACTCTGTTCTTTATTTATCAGCGCAGGCGTTGAATAAAAAAAAAATAGGTAAAAATGCGATGCATTACTTTTTTTAATAGACTTTTTCTCGTGTAAAACTAACAGTTCTTTTATTTTGTGTGCGTGTATGTAATAAGATGAGGTAAAAATTTGAAATCGTTCTTGAAACAAAAAAAAATAATTTTTCTCGTTTTAGTTGTGCTAAATGTGAACGACCATTTCGTTATGGTACTGAAGATACAGTAACAATTAATAAGAAAACTTATCATATTGATTGTTTATCATGTGATAAATGTTCAAAACCTTATGATGGATCATTTTCACCAGATGAACTTGAACGAGAAGCACTTTGTCGAGAATGTATTCATATGCAAAAAACAAAATCAGCAACTAATTCTCAATCGAATAGTACCGAATCAAAAAATAAGTATGTATTTCAAATAAGATTTTTGCAAAACTATACTTTTTTTATCAAATCAAAGATAAAAAAAAATTTATTTGTTGATGTCAAAAAAAAAGCTTTATGACTATGTCAAAAAAAAGCATTGTATTATTTTGCATACAATTACATTTCGAGAGTTAAATGTTTTTTTTTTTTACTAACAATTATAAGATGGTAATGAATCATTTTTATTTTCAACTAATAAAAAAAGTTTCACAACTCGCTTCTAGAACGAAATTATGTGCATCATGTAAATCAAAACGAATTTTGAACATCCAAAAAAAAAAGAGTTCGGGCTCTTGACTTATTGTTCTATAGATAGTTTTCTCCAGGAAAACTGCAGTATCGATTTAAAACCTATCGTAAAAGTGCAGTATTTCGACAATAATCAGCTAAGAGTCTGAAACGTTTTCAGGATATTTACAGTTCATTTGGTTCTACATAATGCACATAGTTTTGATACAAACGCGATCTATCAGTTGAGAAAAGTCTCTTGTAAAACTGACAATAGATGATTGTTCCTATAAAATCATGTTTATAACTTAATAGTAATCTATTAAATACTCGATGTCTGATAAGTCATACGGTGCATGGGTTTATATACATAAAAAGGCATATTCATACGGAATAGAAATGTACAGGATAACTCTGCACATCTCGAATATGAAGCTTGATAAGAATTGTAAGAAATCATTTTTCCATAGTTCAGTAGATATTGTATGAAGATATTTAGATAGAAAAAAATGTACTAAAATCAACATCTATTGTTATTAAATTAATAATTATAAAAATTGATTCTTTATATATCTCTTAATAAAAAAATTTTTTTTTCAGAATACATTCATACTAATATTCATTTATAAATTAATTTTCTAGTGTATTACGTTGTGGTGGTTGTGGTCTACCATTTAATCCAACATCTCGACATATAACAAAAAAATATAATAATAAAGAATATCATCATAATTGTTTAAAATGTAATGAATGTCAATCATTAATTGAAGGTGAAATATATGAAGATGAACAAGAAAATAAAATTTATTGTACATCATGTTTTAAACGTCATGATAAACAAAGTTTTCAAAAACAAAATCAAGAAAAAAAACTTAATCAACAAAAAACAGTTCATTTTGCTGAAAAACTTGCTGAAACATTAAATCGTGATGAATTAGAAGCATATTATAAAAATGATAAAGGACATATTAATGATTCATTTCTTATTGGAAATCAAAATAAAACTGGAGAAATTAAATTGTAAGTAAAAAATTTATAATAAATAAAAAACACAAAAAAATATTTTTTTATTTTTTTTGTTTTTGTTTTATTGAAAATTTCATCTAGTTGTGCTGCATGTATGTTACCATTTCATGCTGGTTCTCGAATAACTCAAGCTAATGATAAAGAATATCATTATGAATGTTTTTGTTGTGAAAAATGTGCTCAACCAATAAATGGAACATTTACAATGAATTCTCAAGGAACAAAATTTACAGTTAATATTATTTCTTAATAGAAAAAATCATTTTGAATACGTTTTTTATTTTTAGTGTAGAAATTGTATTCAAAAAGTTTATTCATCATCACCAATAATTATATGTACGGAATGTGGACAACCAATTGAACCAAATGTTCATAGTCGTATTAATTTTAATAATCGTTCATTTCATTCTGAATGTTTTACATGTGTTCTATGTCATAGACGTTTAAATCCATCACAAACATTTACATTACATAATGATAAACCATGGTGTCGTCAATGTGAAATTGATACTAAAAATTGTTATTCATGTGGAAAACCTATTTTATCATCGGGTATAACATATGAAACACGAGATTATCATGTTGAATGTTTTAAATGTTCACATTGTCATAAATTATTAGACAATGAAAAATTACTTTGTGCTAATAATTTACAACCATATTGTGTTAATTGTAATGAATTATTATTTGCTAAACGATGTAATAAATGTGGAAAATCTATTCCATTTGATACAAAATATACTATATTTGATGATAAACCATATCATGAACAATGTTTTCTATGTGTTAAATGTCATCGATCAATTGGTTCGAAAAAATTTTTTAAAGATCAACGTGGATTTATATGTTCAAATTGTTCGAAATCTTAAATTGAATGAATAATTGAACAAGTAAAACAAAAATTAAAAAATAAAAAAAACTTTAAGAACGACATATAAACGTTATATATCGATTTTTTTTTATTAATATAAATAATTAAATAAAAACTTCAATAAAAATCATCATTAAAATTTAACAACTAATATTTGATGCTTTGAAAAAGAAAATTTATCGAAAGAAACTTTTTTTCTTTTTTAATGTTTACTTGACTTTAGGTATGTCCTAAGTAGAGATATACGGGACCAAGTTTTTTTAATTCCAGTCAGCATCCGAATGGACATGAGATAAAAAAACGAATGTGACCATTTTATCAATCCAAAGTTTAGTAAAGTGGACGCGCCATCCTAAGCTATGATCCAAATTCTCTCAAACTTTGTTCTCAGCAACACAAACCCGTTTCCAAACACAAAAATTACATGTCCGTCTGTCATGCGAAAAATGCACACTGTGAGATCTAGAGAAAACTATTCCATAATTTATTCGTATAATATCTAAAAGAATTCTTCAATACTCGTTCTTCTTTTTTGGATTCTTTTAGTTGACGACTAGCACTCTTTTTTTGGGTCTTTCGGAGTCGGAGAGTAAGTTTTTTGATGGAGTTATAATTTTTCTTTTTGTTATTTTTCAATCACATATTGACAGTAATAATTAATAGTAATAAAAAAATAAAAATAATTCTATGACATTGCATAACTTTCGTAACAGAGAACTAAATTTTATTCCGATTATTGTCAAAAGTAAGTGCAAAAAGAAAGAAAAAAAAAAAAGTAGAAAAAAAGTTCGTATTTTCATTGTTATTGTTGTTGTTTGTTTGAATCTCATTCATTAATTTGATGAAAGATATCAATAAAAATCTCAATACTTCTTCTATTCTGAAGTAAGACGTGTTGTTCGTCGATTTGTTGTTGTTAATATTATTGTTTCTTCAGTTATCATTGTTCCTGCTATTCGAGTTGAATATCGAGTTGGATAACGAGTTTTAACTGGTATTTCAATTGATTGTGGTGGTACTAATCAAAGTCAAAAGATATATATTAATAAAAATTTTAATTATCAATCTTTTACCATTTAGATTATCTTGAGGTAATCGAATTGTTGTTCGACGAGTTGTTCGTCGTTTATTACTATTTTCAAGACTTCCTGTTGGTACAGGTGGTGGTAATTGTGTAACAATTGGACTTTTTAATGTTTTATTTCTATTAGAAGATGTTGATGTTGATAATAATACTTGATCAATTGATCTTTTCTCTGTTCTTCTTAATGTATTTGTTTGTTGTTGCTGTTCTTCTTCTTCTTCTTCTTCTCTACATATATGACAATTATTTAAAGAAACAAAAAAAAGATTAAAATAGAATATTTTACGATTCAGCCGATGCTATAGGTGATAATTTCGAAGTATCTTCATTGATAACAATTGTTGGTCGAATATAATCTGATTTTTCAGCATCAAATGTATTATTATTTAATAAATATGTTTTTCCTAAACGATTTCGTTCAGTATTATTATCTAGGAAAAGAAATATTATATAGAAAAAAAAATATATATATATAAATTTTTCTTGTACATACGAATTTTAATTAGTTCACGAAAACTAACTTTTTCTTGTTTAATTTTTGGTTTTTCTTCAAGAGATTTATTAGATAGAGAAAGTTTTTCTTGTTGTGATTGTCGATCACGAATACGAATTGATTGATCAGCAGTTAATAATAATGGACGAATATTTTCTTTACTTTCAACAATAAGACTTTCTTCAACAACTGTATGTTCATTAGTATCATCATCATCTGTTTCTTCTTCAGATGTTAATGGTTTTAAAGATTTTTTAACAAATGTTTTATCTGATATTGTTGAACATATTGATTTATTATGTTCTTTTTTTTCTTCATCATTATTAATTATTGTTGGAATAAATGGTAAAAGTGAAACAGATAAATCAGAATTTGTTATATCTGTTTCCATTTCTGTTTCTTTTTCAATAGCTGATACATCACGTAATGTCATATGATTTACTCTTGCTTTTGTTAGTGATTGTGGTTCGTCATTTAATGTTTCTTCATGAACAGTAGTTGACATATTTAATTGAAAAGGAACAGTCATTGAAATATCTTGTAATAATTTTGAAGCACGTAAACGAGCTTCTAGAAAAATATTATGAAAATAGATTCAAAGAAAAACATTAACTCAACATAAAATCAATCAATTCTAGTAGTTAAAAGTACAGATTAAAGATGTACGAGACTAATTTATTTTGATCTCAGTAACTTCTTTTCTAGTAGTTCGTTCATCCTGCTTCTAAAAACTTGTCTACGCAGAGCCATTTTATGCTGAGTTATGCTTCTGAATTTTCTAATAGATATATTTTAACTTCTGTAATTTTTATTTATATTCAATTACTTATTATCTTTCTTACTCTTTAACGTTTGAGTAATCAATGGTGTTAAAGTTCGTGCTTGCTAAATCAAAATAAGAAAATTTATATGTTGAAATATTTTTAATTAAAATAAATTTTTACCAATAAAATAGATACATCATTCTGTTTTTCTTCTTCTTCATCATCAACTTCTTCATCTTCTTCAATAATTCGACTAAAATCTGGACTTTGTTTAATATTTCGAGGTAAACCATTTCCACCACCATATGAACGTAAATCACCTGGTACGACTAATTTTCTATAAAACAGAAGAAAAAAAAAAACCAAAAAAGAAACTTTCATAATGTTTTTTTTTTTTGTTACTGTTGTAACATAGCATGAATTTCTTTCCAATGATCAGCTTCTTCTTGTATACCATCAGAAATAATTCGACATTGTTCATTAACAAATGTACGTAAATTTTCCATACGCTACAAAAAAGAAAATTTAATAATAATAAAATGAAAGATTTTTTTATTTAAAGAAATTTTGTTTTTTTACTGTTTGAAAATAAACTTCAAGTGATTGTGTTGCTAATTGTGTCATATTATCAAGTAGTTGAAGTTTTTCATTATATTTTTTTAAATCATTATCACATCGATTTATTTCATGAAGAATTTCATTATTTTGATTTGTAAGATTTTTTAATTCAATATTTAATTGAACTAAAAAAAAAGATTGAAAATATTTATTTTATTTCTTTTCATTAAACTTACTATTTGCTGCTCGATATAGACATCGTCGAGCTGCATATCGTTTTGATTTTGATTCAACAAAACGTTTTTCATTCCAAACAATTGTTAACATATATACTGATTTATTGCCGAACATCTTTTTTTTCTTTTGTTAAAAAACGAAATGAAACTAATAAATCTTTAATTTCTACTAAAGATTTCGTCTTTGTTTTGGCGTCTTTTACATAAACGAACCAATTATGCTTATGTCAATCTCATAGAACAGAGGTCTCTCGTTTACATATTAAAATTCTCTACAGTTTAATTACTTTTTTCTTTTTCTTCTGTATGATGATTGCAAAAAACATTCTCAAATCAGAGTCAGTCATTTCGTTTTTTTTTTGTTTTTTTTTTGAAAAAACAATAATGACTACCGTAAGTGAATATACCTTGCTATCAATTCAAAATACGAATATGAATTTTATCGATTAGGATGAAACAATAATAGAAGAACTTCATATAAAACTTGAATCGTCATCAACAATTGATTCGACAAATGATGATGATAAGACTTATTCTCTAAAAGAAAAATTTCATGAAATTGATGGAGGTGCTGCATTATCAAATGATGGTCTTATGGCAAAATATTGCTTTCGAACTTTATCTAAATATCCAATTATTTATGGTTATAAACGATATTCATATGGAACACATCATATTCATTTTCAAATTGAAAAACGAGGAGATTTACATTTCTTTTTTGGAATAATTACTTCATTAGAAAAAGTCAGTCGAATTATGTCAACAGATATAGATAATAAATCACTTTATGGATGGTGGGATCTTAATAGTATTGTTGTTAATGGTAAAGTTCAAAGAAATAAAGAAAAAAATCATATTGAAAAAAATGATGAATTAACATTAATATTAAAGTGTGATGATCAACAAATAGAATTAGAACATTGTAGAACTAAACGTTTATTAAAATTATCAATTGATATTATATTATGTCCATTTCCTTGGAAAATAGTTGTTGAATTACCTAGTTATGGTGATTGTATACATATTATTCAATAGAATATTCAATCTAGTCATCATTGTTTTTATTATAAAATATTGAATAAATAAATATAATTCTTTTAATGATAAATTTTTTTTTTGAATATTAATCAACAGAAAATGTGTTTATAATGCATAGAATTTTATAGAAGATTATCTAAAAAACAAACTTCGATTAAAGTTTTTGATCTTTTTTTTTTATATTGAAAAATTGCAGTTGTGAATTACAACAATTGATTTTAGTTTATTAGAACGTCTTCATGTAAACTATATGTATATTGACGAAGGTCAAATCTATTGATTCTATGAATTAAAACGATGAGAATGTGTTGAAGTGAAAAGGAAGGAAATAAAATCAATTTAATATTCAAGAACAAAATTAATCTAATCAAGCGAGTAATGGACAATTCAGTTGTAATTTGAAAGATATTGTTAAAGAGAAATCTAATATAATAATTAATTTCTATTCCTATTAATCTTTCGAAATAAAACAAAAAGGATCATAAATCTAACGTTTGACTTTATTTTAGTATTGTTATTGTTCAAAATATAAATTATGATAATGTAATGCATGATTTATGTACGTCACTTATTGTATGTAAAAGTAGTTGCAAACATTGGATCTATGCACAAAAAAAAAATGATGTCATTTGTGTTATGAAACATCTAAGCAGTTGACAGAAATACAGAATATATGGCTAGTTTAATGGTTATGACCAAAGTTTAGTCACGATCATGGTCGTAGTCATAAGTCACGTCAAACCTTTGTTATGTAATATACATAAAGAAAATGTCTAAAATTGTTCTTATTGATTACAATAAATATATGTAATCGTAATTTGAACTTTTACTATTCTTTTCAATGATATCAATAAGTTATGATTGTTTTCAACTTTTTTAAAATAATATAATTTTTTTTTAATGCTGCAATGAATCAAGATTTCACATAGATAATATACATTTTCTTGTATAAACTATATCGTTCATCGAAACAAGAATTTATTCCAATTTTTATTAAACAAACATTACAATCTTCTTGTTACACAGTTACAAGAATCTTTTCTCTCTCTCTCTCTCTCTCTTGTTCTCATTCTTTGTGTTCATAATGTTTCATGCATTGCTTTTTTTCCCCCGTTCTTCTAGTACTTCAAGACAAAAGTAAAATAAATTCACTCTTTCAATGTAAATCTACATATTCCTTTCTTCTTTCACAAGTATTCAAAAGAAGGTTATAACCATAGAATGTATGTTGATTTCTTGTTATGAAAAAAATGTATGAACTTAGATTTCTTTTTTTTTTTTTCTTGAAGTTAAAAATGGCAACAAATACCGCAAAAAAACCATGTGCTAAATGTAGTAAAGGTAGTGGTGTTACTACATGTGATGGATGTCAACAATCATTTTGTACGAAACATTTTGTTGAACATCGTCATGAACTTTCTCAACAGATGACCAATATTAATCAAGAACATGATTTACTTCGACGAGATTTATCAAAAGAAAATTCCAAACATTCATTTTTAAATCGTATTGATATATGGGAACGTGAATCAATTAATAAAATTCAAGCAGCAGCTGAAACTGCTCGAACTGATCTTCAACAATTACTTGATCGAACAAAGAATGATTTGAAAATATCAATAGAAAAATTAACTAATGAACTTAATTCATGTCAACAATCAGATGATTTTACTGAAAATGATCTTAAACGATGGAATGAACAATTAAAAGAATTACGTAAAAATCTTGATATTCCATCAACTATTTTTATCGTTAATGATGATGATATGAAATCATCTATTCATTTAATTCGAATTTGTAACAAACAACAAAAACAACAACAACAACAACAACAAATTCAACGTCCTTCTACTCCTGTAATTCGAACAGTCGAACATCGTATTCATAATATTAAAGATTCACTTTGTGTTATTAATGAAAAATTTGGAGATATTGATGGAAAAGCTATTCTATCTGAAGATAATCTTGTTGTTACTTGTTGTTTAGCATCTATATTAACACAACCAATTATTTATGGTATTAATCGATATTCTAATGGAAAACATCATATTCGTTTTCGAATAGAAAAAATGGGAGATTTACGTTTATTTTTTGGAATTATTAGATCATTAGAAAATATTAGTAGATCAGGTCAAACTCAGACTAATAATAATAATAATTATAATTATAATAATTCTCTTTATGGTTGGTGGGATCTTAATGAAGCTATTATAAATGGAAAGGTACAAACAACTAAATATAGAAATATTCTATCAACAGGTGATGAACTTACATTAATATTAGATTGTGATAATAAACAAATTCAATTACAACATCATCGTACAAAAAGATTAGCACAACTTTTAATCGATTTAAATAAATGTCCATTTCCATGGAAAATAGTCATTAGACTTCAATCAGCCGGTGATTGTGTACGTATTCTTCAGTAAAAAAAAATATTCAATTTAATAATAATTAGACTTGCTATGCCATTTTTTAAATGAAAATAATAAATGAACATGTTCATTAAATTTTTAAAGTATTCAAAAAAACAATGCAACAACTTGTGAAGTCAAATCATTTTTTTTTTCAAGTCGATATAAATAAAATAATGAAAACAAAAACCAGCAGTACTATATGATGAGAATAAGATTACAAATTGTATAGGAATGCCACGAACTTTGTCTATAGAATGTTCGTTAATAGTGACAGTCCTCTTGACGAAATTCTAATTATCTATTGTACAATCAGAGAACTATTATTTATCTGTTATCTATGACGTTTATTGTTTTGCCGTGAATTTTCTATTGTAGAAGATAAGAGTGTCATTTGACATAAATTAAATATATTTGAAAACGAATCGTATAAATCCTAGTCATCGAATGAAACATGTATCGATTATAATCGGATTATTGTGCAACAAAATCAAAATTATAATCGACTTTGAAGATTTTAACTATTAGAAACGGCTGAAAATCTTCTAAATCGATTATAATTTTGAGTTTGTTATACAATAATCCGATTACAAGCGGAACAATTTTTTACTAGAGAGTTGTAATATGTGATGCATGTTAACGATCATCATGAACATTGGTAAGAATTATTTCTAGAAATGAATAATCGTTGCTAAAACTATGATTTTTCTTTGTCGAGATAGAGAATTTTAATCAAGGCGAGATTCCAATGAATAAACAGAAAATAAATTTCAACGATGTACTGAACAATTCAATAAACTCCCTCAAACATTTTTAGTATTCATTAAATATCGATGTAGAAAATGACAATTATGAAGAAACAATTATTATTTTCATAAAAGTATATGATCAATAGTAACTAACATCGTCGACTTCAGTTCCAGTATCAAAAGAGAGTACTCGATCTGTTGAAAACTCAAGCATGTATTTCGATGAAAAAATATGATCTCTTTAAGACAGAAGTCATCTTATCAAAAAATGACCTTATAACAATTTGTTACCTGAAATTTAATTCTTCACGTAACATTATCTATGATTTGAATTCCAATATGTTCGGTATACATAGTGTTACCTTTCGGGTATGGATGTGATTGTGAGTGCTGCTGTTATTGTTGATAATGACTTGAGTTAGGATGTGCATGCAGAAAAGAAATACACTCATCATCACACTCACATCCGGATAGTTGAAAACAAGTTCTTACTTTGTAAAATGATAACAGAACATAAAAAGGCGCGTGAATAAGCATAAAACATGACGTTATAATTTATTTTGTCTTTTAACTCAACCTCGAGGGAGACAATGAGTAAATTTTTAGACGAAAATGAAAGTTGTCCGAAGAATTGCAAATTAATCTGACGATAATCAGCAAATATCAATAAAAGAATAGCTATTTTTACCTATTCGAAGAAAACGGTCTCGATTCTGAATATGTGCTCATGCTTTTTACCAAACGGATTATACATGTTCTTGTCGATTATCATATACTCTATGAACACTGAAATTTTCGTCATATGTTCAGCTTTATTTTCTGAGATCTTAAGCTCTCACGATGAACTAGTGACGGAAATGCTTTGATACCAAAACACAACTCAAGTCATATTTTGTTCATTACATAATGAATGAGTTTATCGGTCTTTGTCTCCATTTCAGAAGAAGCCTCTTTTCTTTTAGCTCACATCAAAAAGAAATGCTATGAGTGATTGTCAAGTTTGTAAATTGTATAAGTACTCCTATTTTGAAGACTTCATTGCAACATTTATACACGATTAGATTCACTAGCCCCAAGGCTACACAAACGAGCAATTTTTATATTCATTTCGTAGAAACACTTAAGTGGGCCAGAACAGATCCTTATGCGCCTCCGTTCATTGAACGTTCGTTCCAGCCAGAAAATCAAAATAAAAATAAAAAAAGAAGTATGCTCCGCCAGGGTAATATGAGGTATAGTCAGTTTTCTCACGGGGCCTCTCTTAAATGAATATCAAAATCTGACCAGCATTAAATACCGATAAAAACGGTTTTTTTTTCTGAACTATATTGATATCTTTCAGTGTGTTTTCTGGAAGAGTAAAAAAACACGATAGGTTGCTAGCTGTTTTCATTCACGAGCTATTCAAAAAACAACGGTCTACCTTCCTTGTTGACCTGAGCAACAGACCTGCGTGTTGTGAGCCGTGTTAACACACAAGGCCATACATATTATCATCTCTGTGTCTTTTCTTTTTTCCCTATTTATTGTCTACATCTATAAAAATATAAGTGTTTTTTTTTCTCATTGGAAAATGTATTAGTGTGTTTGTTTATGTTTTCGATTTTGGGATGTATATTCGGAATCTGAATAAAACCAGTTCAAGAAACATTCTTAACTGGTGAAACAAGTATTGTGTATATTTTTTTTTTGTTTTTTGTTATATCTATCCAACTTGTCTTCTCAGATATATTTGCATCTTGAACAACTCAAGTACTTCTATGGATTTTTGACAACAATATGTTGTGCAACAAGTCTTTTTTTCTTCCTGCTATTGTTTTGTTATTATCTTTGTTCTTTTTCTTTTTTTCTCTCTCTGTTATTTGCTAACCCTCGTTTCTTTTGCTATTTCTTTCTCCAGATTTAAAAAAAAAAAGAAACAATCGATGAAACATCGTTTCGTTTTTTTACGTAATAGGGAAGACTGTCATGATTCGTATTAACATATAAGGTCATACATATTATCATCTCTTTCTCTTTTCTCATTTTCCTATCTATTATCTACATCTATAAAAATATATGTATTTTTTCTCATAGGAGAGTGTATCTGTGTATTTGTTTATAGTTTTGGTTTTGGTATGTGTATTCGGGACCTGAATAAAACAAGTCCAAGAAACATCTTTAACACTGTGTACGCAGAATTTCTCTCAGCGGTACATCATGCCCGTCTTTGTACGACTTTTTTTTCTCGTATTCTGTGTAGTGTGTTACGTCGTGTTAGAATGAAGTGTGTATTGAGTTATTTCTTTATTGGGGATTAGATAAATGTTTTTTTTTTCTTCCTATGTAAGCTATAACTGCTTATCTACGATTGTTTGTCGTAGAGGTACTATCGTTGTCCATTATGTATAACTGGAGTGTAGTGTATGAAACATACACGATTGTTTCGATATGTGAGAGAGTAAAAAAAGATCCATGAGTACGTCTACACTGAAGTAAGTAGTTACGGAGATGATTAGAAGGGCTGTAAGGTTAACTGATAAGAGTGTCATCAATAGTCATTGTAGACACAAAAGTTCATAGTCGGTAACAACAGGCTTCGCACGTAAGTTTCATTTCCCCATCTTATAAGGCATCAGAAGTAACTCATCGAGAACAAGTTTGACATTTCGCTCAGGTCTACTACCTATCTAAACATGTTAGTCGTCGATCTAGTTTGCCATGTAATACTGCAAATTTCATTATGCATGAGTTGCTTTAGTGATTTCATAGGAATTCTTACAACATCAAGACATACAAAGGCACTCAAAATCATTCGTACAGCTGATAAATAACCTTGTTATTCTAATATCTTTGCAATAGTTCGATCTTTGGAGTTTCGGCTTTTATCAAAATGTAGCTGATGTTGTCTAATATATTTACAGAAAGTTTTATCTTGATTAACCATATATTTGATATTCTTAAGCTAAAAATATTAAAATTTTAGAGTTTTCGTTCCGCTCAAAATCATTCGTACAGCGCACATTTTATCTTTCTTTTCTGTGCCTTTGTGCACTCTACTCCTTTTTTGTCTTGTTGATATGGTATCGACCGCCTAGAAACGATGATACTTGAGGATGTTGATGTGTGTATCAATGCTTGTAGTTTCTTCATGCTCATATGCATACCCACTCTCACACATCCGAAATTGATCTACAAATATGAAAATGTACACCACTGAAAAATGAATATGAGCTGAAACAAATATTGTTACAGGAAGGAACTTCTATTGAAGACGATGTAAACAAGCATTAGTTGATAGAATTGAGGATTGTTTACAAGAATACATAAAATAATTGGGCTTTCTAACTCGATACTAATAGAATTACACAAAAAGAAAATGATAAGAATAAAGAGAATAAAACTTATCATCGTTCTTTTCGCTTTTGATATTAGAAAAAAGACATAATACTGTCATTGGTTTTATTTATCTATACTCAATAGAGAGAGACATCGTTTTCTTGTATAAAAGGTGAAGTACACGGATAATTTTGAGCGCCTTTATATCTTTGATATTTTCCTTGATAGTATAGACATCACAAACTATCAGCCAAGCATCTTAGAAAAACGTCTCATTGCTGGTGTGGAAAGATCTATCGGTCAATATCTCTATGCATATCGAGTCAAGTATAAACAATAGGGATTGAATATAGAAAAAAAGTCCTTCCTTCTGTTCCAAATTCATGCTTTTGTAGTAAACTTTTTTATGCTGTTTAACTTTTTCGACCTCATACTCAGACTCAGCGTAAAATTTTAAATTAACAATGATATGCCTTGTTGTAACTGAGTGTCTAGAGAGTTGTACGAAAGATGAAGAAGCTCCGCAACCGAAGAAATCAATTGAACCGTGTATAATGTGTGGCGAAATTATCTTTGTTATTCTAAGTGTTTTCATTCTGGTTTCCTGATAGAATATTAGTCGTAGAAAGTTGAACTTATACAAAAAATCTTCCTCGTTCAATTCTCTACTAAGTGTGTATTGAACGTTTTTCTATGAGAATTGAAACAGAAATCTATAAACAAAAATGAATCCATACAGATAAATGGATTAAATTTCTAAACCACTGTTTTAATAGTTCATTGAGATTCAGCTTAATGTTGTCCTCAAGAGGCTCATTTGTGAAATAACTGAGCAGGTTAAAGAAGATCATTTCATGAGTCAGTACATTGGTATTGAGCACATAACAATAGTCTATAAACGGGAAAGTATCAATGATGACACTTTGCGAAGAAGAGACGGACTATAGATGAATACCGATGAAGAGCTCACATAATGGCAATCGTCGAAAATATTTTATGTAATGATTAGGGTAGCAAATCAGTATTAAGTTAATTTTAATACGAATCCGAGAGAATTAAAATTAGTAATACCTAACGTTACTGCTAACTTTATTTTGCCATCTCTAGTCACCAGTACATCATCTAGGGATGGCCTGTTGAGTCAGTTTGATGTTTTTTGGGTGTACAAAATAATAATGGTTCATGATAATTAGAGTCAGTGTCAATATTTTTCTTCTTCTTCTCCCTCTTTTCTCGTCTTTTCCTCCTGTTTCTACTGATTAGATACTGTACGCCTGTGTAATTTTCTCCACAAACAGAAGCTAGAAGAACAATAATTAATGAACAGAATAACGCCAAAATCACCTCAGGTTGGCAGTTCAAAGCGGTCCTTTATTGATGCAGCAATCGCTCAGCTCATTCCGAAGCCGACATTGACTCTTGTAGAAAAACTTGACCAGAATACAGATGAGACTGAAGACAAATGTTGCTGTCTCAATTTCGATAATACTTGCTGTTCGATATTCAACCGATGGTGGAATGTTCGTTATAAATGGCAACGCCGAATGATTCGCTTTGTCGAACATCCGCTTTTTCACATCGCTATCATTATACTCGTATTCATCGACTGTTTACTTGTCATAGCTACGCTCATACTTGATTTTATTAAACTCAGGGAACTTTGTGATTCAAAATCTACTAATGAAACAACTGTACACAATGAAGATAGACTTTATCGGATAGAGTTAGCCATCGAAATTTTGCACTATTCTTCATTGGCACTGTTGGGCGTGTTTCTCGTTGAAGTGCTTGCCAAAATGTTTGTGTTCGGACGGCATTGGTGGAATATTCATGACAAAAAAATGGAATGGTTGGATAGCATTATTGTTATTGCTTCTTTCATTGTCGATCTAGTTATCATTTTTCATCGCAGTATTTTCGCCGAAATATCCTTACTCTTCATTTCTCTTCGTCTATGGCGTGTTGTAAGTTGTTGTTGTAATTAGTTCAATATATTTGTTTTGATTTTCCATCTTTTTAGGTTCGAATCATCAATAGTAAGAACTATTTATTTCTTAATATGTTTTTATTTTTCTTTTCTCTCTCATCTAGGTGTGGCTCAGACCATTCGATCTGAGGTCGACAATAAAAAGAAACATTTGGCTACTAGTTATCATGAGGTGATCGAAGTACTTTTGGCTGTTTCAGAAAAAAAAACTGCTGTAATTTCAGAACTTAGTGACAAAAAAATGTCAAAAAATTCTGATAATACTCTTGAAAAGTTCAAAAGAATCGATGAATCTTATCGTGCAATTCTTGAACATTGTTCACATCCATCATCGCTCGATGCTGTCAATGAGATGACTCATCATTTACAAGATATCAAAGAAAAACTTCAATTAGTATCATGAACAATGAATCTATCATCTAACAAAGACATTGATAACTGATACTGTCCAATCTACAATTTATATTTTCAACATGTGATGATTTGACATTGTTAATTATTAAAATAGAAACTTATTATTTCTAATTGTTCAAGCAACTAAATTACATTTTTCTAGGTATATAGCATTCATACTTCTGCTGATTCGATCCAAGAACTATATTTTCTATACGTCTGAATTGTTTTACTGCGTAAAAAGCTCTGTAACATTGGAAAATAACTTCATTAACTGGTTTCTCATTTAAGATAGATATTCCACGAAAACATCCAAGATTTTTCCTGTCTCGTAGAATATGATTGCAGTCATATTTTGAATCGGATTATGACAGAAAATAACCCATATCATAATACCATAATGCAATTCCAAAGATCATGACTTTATAGCTTATTAATAAATTTCTGTAGCTGATTTACTGATCATATACAGGGTGAGTCATAAATAGCACTACGAAAAGAAAAGATGAAATATCTCCATGTTGGTGCAATCAAATCGGCTGATATTTGCTTAGAATTAGAAGTTTATACAAAGTTTTTTTTCATACTGAAGAGTAACCAAACACTACCATTAACCTAATGAGGATATGCGTTCACACCTATGCTCACCCTATCAAGCATTTTTTCCAGAATAATAAAATCGTTCGACAATGAATAATAATTTGAAAACTTTTGGGTCTTTGCTAGATCGATTTTCTAGAAAGTAGAATTTATTTTAAATTAACAGAGTACTTAATGATGTTATTATTGAATTCTTCGAACGTGTTACAAATATGAAAAGTCAATTGTATCAATCATACGAATAATTTTTGCAGCTAAAACACTTTCACTTCTTAAGGATATGGTCATGCTACGGAGATTAATTAGTTGGAAAATGAAATGTTGGCACTTTTGACGTCGTAAGATTTTTGAAAATTATCTTTCTTGCCGATTTATGATTGCAGAAAATTCATTGAAGAGTTAGACCGAAATGATCTTGAGATAGAGATAACTGCGCAAAAATTCCCCTTGTAGATTTCTTTTTTCCTAAGTATACATTAATGGCAGCAAGTTGCCAGTTTTTTTTTTTTTGTTGCAGAAGTTTGTTTTGTTTTTCTAGTATCTATCCCAGCAGAATTCAAGAATTTTTGATAAATGATTCATTACCCTAGTACACTCCTGTGCTTTATTCTATATCCTAATCTCTGTATCTAAATCAGCATTATGCTTAAAATTTTGTTTTTACAACAGATTTTAACCCGAACTCTACTTTCCTAACAGAATCATGTTTCACGATATATGTAGATTTATGCCTACATCTAAATGACAAATGTTTACAATATTCGAATTAATAGTTTGCTGTTACTTTAATGTATATCTAATATAAAGCAAAAAAAACGCACACATCCATTTCTTGATCTGTTATATTTTTCGTTTCGGACTTTCATTGCATTTGCCAGGCTGCTTGGCTGAAAAACAAACTATTAGAGTAGTTATTCTGGTCCTCTCGCATAGACTATAAAACCTTACAAGAAACAAAAATATAGCAAATTTTCTGCTAGTTGTCATTGATTTCTTTCTGAATCTTTCTTGTATTTATATAATTTTGATTTAATTTAGTGAAGAGCATTGAGGAAATTGTTTTCGTGTTTTGTATGATGATGATTTATCTGAGAAAGATATCACAAAGACTAAACAAACTATCAATGTCTATTCGTTTTTTTTTTAATATAATAAAAATAAAATATTTTTTATAGATTTACTATCAATGTTCAAAAAGATAAGACTTTTTCTTGCCCTTGTTCGACTCTATATATACACCATTGAATGCTGAATCCGATGCTCGTGACGAATATCTGGTTGATTTTGACTTTGTTTTGCTTCGATCCTTATCTCAACAACGATTTTCAAGAAACGAATGAATTTTTGTAACGAACACTATTTTTAGTTTATTATTTGATGTAATTATACTTATTAAAAATTGAACAGCTTTTATACAGAAAGTTTATTTCTATGTCACTTCGTTTCCTAGTAAAAAGCAAAACTCCAATTTTTGAAATTCAGTAACAGTCAGTATTTTTGGAATAGGTCAGCTCGAGCTAAAAGAAGATCAATAAAATTTTTATTTATAGTAGATCTTAATGATCTCTATCAATAATAAAAATCTCAAATCATTCGTTTTTCCCATTGACGAGAAATAGTTGTTACAATGCAAAAAAAAATGAAACTCCGTTGAACAATTAAAGCAGATATTTTACATTATTAACACAAAAGTATTCGTCAAATATAGTCTACAACATAGACCAATAGTTCTTTATTTCGAAAGATACTGAAAATCAGATAATTGTAATTTCTAATATTTCTTTTCTATCTTTTTTTCTCATATATCTCCACGATAAAATGGAAAAAATCAATTTTATATAACATTTATCTACGTGTCATATTGTCGTGTGACTGAATGAAAAAACGTGAATTTAATTTAAGAAAAGCATATTCGAAAAAATATGGACCACCTAGAAGATTATTTTCTTTGCTGAATATAACATAATTTTTGTTGCGTAATCGATTGAAGAAGTCATGAATAACACTAACATTTATCGGATGAAGTTCCATAAGAATTTGTCGTGGCAATGAACTCTTACTCGAATTCAGTAGAAGAGGAAAAAATGAATATTCACCACCTTCAATATCAATTTTCAATATATCAATCAATCGATTCGTATGATTCAATGCTCGAACAACAGTTAACCAACTCTTCGAACCATATGGTTGAATCCCATCGCCAAATGTAATTTTATGAAAGCTACACGTATTCGGCGGACATACGTATGAGTTTTGATCGAATGCATGAATTTCACAATGAGGTATGATTTTTTTCATTTCGATTTCAAATGAAAAGTCACCACTTGATCCGACACTGTAAATTAGACAATCGTGACGCGATTTCAATCGATACGGATCACAGACCCATTTGCCACCATCACCTCTACCGCCAATACGTCGTGCGTGAGAACAATGAAAATTTGGCGCCCAATTTGTTAAAAAATAGAATGTATCCGGAAGTGTAATCATATTTTCTTTGTCTTGAGTATGAAAGACATGTTTGCGTTCATTCCAGACAGAATTCGGTTCACAAATAAATGCATCACTTTCAATAAGAGATTCTTGACAATCATTACTAATAAAGGAAAGAGTTGACTGTGAGCATGATTGATAAGTCCAGATGAATAGAATGGATAATAAGACTCCAAATACTAATAGTAACAATAGTGAAATCAATACTTTTTGCATACATAAATTTGATCACGATCGGTGAAGAATGTAGAACAATAATGTTATTTCGACAATAGCAATGTATAATCTTAAAAATAAAAACTAAAGAGAAAATTCTATTTAAATTTTATGCGTTATCTCTATAGTAGAAGTATAAAGAAAATATTCTACGATTTTAAATTGCAAATAAGACGTAGTCGTAATCGTAGAACATGAAAAGAAGTGAGTTTTATTTGAAATAATTTACTAGATTTTTTTTCGTACAATATTTGTTGTTCCTTACTATTTCTATTAATAAAGAGATCTGTTATTTCTCTTCTGGACGAAAAAAGGGTGCAACTTTGAATCATTAAAACTTGACTATCTTATAAGGACTAGCTGGCATTCACATGAAGCCTTGAGTTTCAAACTCGGTGCGAAGCAATACTCAAACCGAATCTCAGTACTCGAAAAACTTCAGATTTAGATGAATAGACTACTACTTCGACTTGATCCTCAAAACTTTCCGTTACCTTTGCATTCATTCCTATTGTGATTGACTCCTAGTGTTACTTTTGTGGAACAAAACAAAGCATAAAAATGTTTCGCTTGAAACATTTATTTACAACAGCAGAATGATATTGAAATCACTGGAAAATATGAAATTTTTTAAAATAACTATTCATCCTTTTAGATCCAGATAAGGTCAAATACTGATTGTCGATGAGTATTTTTAGAAAAAATCTCCCGATCAAAACTTTAATAATAGTCCAGATTCAAGAAACACGACCGTAAACGGTCGTATACAACTGAATATGGCAGAAAACGATTCACGACAAGATTGACAAAAAATATTCGTGTTTGAGAATCAGTATGACGAACATTACCTAATTTTTTTGCAATATTATTTTATATTCACAAGAAGTTGGCAAAAGAACTTGAATTTTTCTTTTCTTTGTATTCGATTGGAGTCGTTTGTTTGTCAAAGCCAAATAAATCTCAATGAAAAAGATGGCGACATTGAAAATGTTATTCATGCCATCAAGCATTTCTTTTTCTTTAATCAAGTTTTGTTTGTTGTTGGAAGACGATACAGCGAAAATTTCCATAGAATATCTTATAGAAATATTTTCAGTTTGTAAGCCATATAAGTTTCAAAATCTGTTATTTTATTCTTAAGATTTACAAATGAATAATCGACGATTCGTTCAATCAAGACTTTGGCATGCGAGGCTTATTCATAGCATTTAAGGATGTAGATATCGATTACGATGTGGCTATCTACTACCCCAAGCCCATGTCTACATCTTACCTAGTATAATATACTTCTGTATTTATTTTTGCTTTTAAAATAAGTTTTCATTCTCAATTCTTTCTCATTGAATGACCCTCTATTTTAATTCAATATTCTTTTACCATCTTGTAAACAAAAAAAAACATGAATATTACAATTACTTTTCTTATGGTCTATAGAGAAGATCAATTGTAAGGATTTACACTGTTTCATCAACTGGTTTTTCGATGTTATAAGATTTTTGGCTCGAACCGAAATTTACCTCAGTAATTATCATAAAAAAAAGTCTTACTTCTATGATTAGCTGGAACACTTCGCAATGCTTTGCAGGACAATAGAGTACTACAGTAAGCACCATTTTTTTTTTTTATAGAAATAAGACTTTTTATGATAATTAATGACGTATATTTAGTTTTGAACCCAAAATTTCAACCTTGTGTTACTAATAGTATTTAGCGTACGCCATTCTTGTCTATAACTAATTAAATTAAAAGTTATTGTTTTTTTTTCACTGCATTTCTGATTGATTTAAATCAATCTAATAAAAAATTCTTTCATAACATCTTATCATAATATTTTATTCTTATTTTCAAAATAACAAGAGCAAAAAAAAAAAAAATTTATATAAATAGAACATAAGACCTTTCATTAATAATTTTTGAGCAAAAATCTCACTACTTTTATTGCACAAAATTTTCATTACAATGTTATATATATATACATATATGAACAAAAGATAATTTCTATTATTATTAAAATATTCCAGCATGAATAAGATTTGTTTGTATAATCATATCTGATATAGCATCAAAGACAAATTGCATTGCTTCAGTATCTGTTGCACATGTTATATGTGTATATAATTCTCTTTCATGACCATTTATTTTTTCTCGTAAATCTATTTTTTCAAATTGTTCTTGAATATAATTAAGTGATGGTTCATATGTATTAAGACCTAAATATAAAACCAAAAAACACAAAAAAAATTTTTTTGTTTTTTTCTTTAAATAAAAAATATTTTAAACTAACCCGTATATTCAGGAAAACATATTTTAATAGATGAAAAACGTAATTTTTCAGCAAATAAATCTTTTTTATTTAAAAATAATATCATTCCAGCTTGACGAAAAAATCGATTATTACAAATTGATTTAAATAATTGTAAACTTTCAATCATACGATTCTAAAAGATATCAATTAAATAAATAAAACAAAACAATTACATACAATACTATCATCTTCATCTAAGACAAGATCATATTCATTAAGTGCACTAACAAATATAACAGCTGTTACACCTTCGAAACAATGTATCCATTTTTTTCTTTCACTTCTCTGTCCACCAACATCAACAATTCTAAATAAATATAATTATAAACTTTAAATACTAAAAATTAAATAATTAATTCATATACCGAAATTTATGTTTCTTTAATGTAAATGTTGTTTCAACAATACCAGTCGTTTTAACACGTGTACGTAAAACATCTTGTTGAGTTGGAATATAATCCGATTGAATAAGTCGATCAAGTGAATTTAAATAACTATCCAATAAAAACAAAACAAAAAAAAAAGACGACATTATATTAAATTACAAAAAAAACAAAACAATATTCAATTTATCCTACTAAGCAGCTGAATCATTTAATTGATATTCACGAGAACGTAAAAAACATGCTTGTACACCATTATCATTCCATAATGCTTGTATAGCTTTACCAACAAGTTCAGGTAAAATTTCATGATTACTTTCTATTTCAGCATGAGTAAGTACAATTTCAGCATCGTTCTTTAAAAAAACAAAAACAAAAAAAAAAGAATCAAATTATATTCATTTTTTTTTTTTAAATCGATTTGTACTTTTCGATTTATATTTTCAAATGAAATTTGTAATCGATTCATTGCATGTAATATAGCTAACATTGATTGTATTGTATTAGAAAAAATAACTGGTTTAAAACGAAGACATTCTTCTTTTGTATAACCATTTTCATTAAAAATTATTCTATAAAAAAAACAAAGACAACAAAAATTAAATTATTATCTATATATAGTCTTCATACAATAAAAGATTGCTATTGAAATATCTCAAACACTATGGATCGGTCGACCTGTTCTCCCGAATTGGTTTTTTTTTTTGCATAATTAAACATAACTGTCAAAACTATTTGAAATTACATACTACTCGAGATTCAATAGAAAAACTTGTAATTCTATAATGATAGTTATATTTAGAAGTGACAACTGTCGGTTTTAGATATGTGGTAATTTTATTAATAATGTATAAATTGTTGGAATTGATTGCAAAGAGAACTGTTGGGGCGTAATCGACTTTTTCTTTTTTAAACAACAATGGACTCGTGCAGCTTGACCTGACCCGTATATAGTTTCCAGTTCAAGTTTATCGAGTAGAGCCGTGTACAGATTGAGATTTGTCGAGTTTGTTTTTTTTCTTTTTTCTAATGTAATTTATTGCTTTTTACATGTAACTCAATATGTTATGAAACTATCGATTCGTATTACTTTTACAGAGATATTTGGAGATCTTCAAGATTGGAGAGAGAGAGAGAATTGATGACTCAGAAGGCGAATTGGAAAATTTTTGCTAAAGCTAACCAAATTTGAAGGGTGAGCGTACTTTTGGGAATTAGTGAGCAAATCTGCTAGGGATGCCTCTGCATCTATAATATATATCTTAACAGTTCTGAATTTATTTGTAATTTATTATTTTTCTCTATAATGTAAAGAAAGCTATTAGAATATAAGTAGATCATTGCATCAAAATATTTGAAAATAACTGCAAAATTTCAAAAAACTCTTTTCAAATAATACTAAGATATCATAACAACATCATTCCGTTCTTTCATTAAAATTTTCAATCATGTGATCTAATAAAATAGTAATGAGATAATTGTTGACCCTTTTGTCTTTCTGTTAGATACATTTTCGGATAAAAATAGAAAATTAATTTTCATTCCAGCATACATCTATTAAAAGAAGATTACCATTACCAATATTGTAATGCCATATGTCATGTTACAATGTCTTCGTCAATAAGAGAAAAAGATCAACAATCATATCATGTCTTTTAAATTGTGAGTTAATATGTTCTATAATATTATGTTGACAGAACAAAAAACCTTTGAAATTATTTCAGAACTACATAATCAAATTTCTTGATGTTATTTTGATATATATTTCGTATTTTTATAAAAATTTTCAACTTTTATCGAATCAAGTGCAAATTTGAAGGTATGCTAGGCTCTCGACTAGAACCTATCGGATCCGAAACCAATCGGACGGGCTCTGCTCTAAGACAACAATTTCTAATATATAACTTTCAATACTTACTTCATCTGTTTTACAACTGTACTCTTTCCAGATTCTCCAGCACCTAAAAATAATAAATCAATAATAATCAAAAAAAAAAATATTAATTCAAATAAAAGCGAAGAAATAAAATGTTTAATTATCTGTTAAGCAAAACATACTTATTAGAATTTATTTTTCGAAAATTTATTAACTAAAATAACGATCATAATTTTTTATATATATATTGATTAAATTTTATAAGAAAAACAAATTTTTTTTTTTTTTATTTAATTACCAAGTAAAAGTAATTTTGATTCTGAATTCATTTCTTTTCGAGCACGTTCTAATGCTTCATTTATTATTTTATTTGTTTGTTTCGATGGATCACGAGGTATACAACAACCGAGCATTTTTTTTTTGTCTTCTTCTATTAGTTTTTAAAGATTAAATCAATTCAAATCGAATATTTTCTCAAACAAAAACCTCAAGATTTCATTCGATTTCATTGGTTATTTATTTTATACCAATCAAATACAAATTCATTTCTCATTGGTTATTTAATATTAGATATAAATAAAAAAAAAAACAACACGAACGATTCTATTGTTTAAAAACAAAATAAGTTGCAACGCCTTTTTTTTTCTGTTCTTTTCTCCACTACGGGCTTATTAATCTATTCCACACTTGATTGCATTGAATCATTCGAATTAAAGCAGAGCAAAAAAAAAAAACGTGTGAGATTTGTCCCACATCTGTGGGAAATATAATAAAAAAGAAAAAGTATGAGATAAGTTCTCATATTCTTCGTACATTCTATGGATTGAAAATATAAACGAGAATCAAAGCATTGATAAACATTACAGATGAGTAAGATTCTTTATTCTAGATATATACTTTTTTCATGGATAGATTATTATATTAGTTTTTAAAGAAATAGTGAAATATACAATTACATTTTTTTTCTATGATGTCAAATGAATAGCAATTAAAACTAAAGTAATTATTGATTATTTGTTTTTGTTTTAGTTATAAAAAAAAAAAAGTACCAAATGTTTAACTAGTCTTTGTCGATCGAATTGTTTTTCATTTTATTTTTACAAATATTGACTTAGAACAATTTAAATTTTTTTCAGTTACATAGAATGTAGATACTTTTTTTTCCATTTTATTAATCTATCGAAAAAGAAAACTCTTTAGAAAATCTCATATGCTAAAATTAACCAAAAAATAAATGGTTTTTTTTTCTTCTTGTCTTTAGTTATTATCATCAATAATGCTCTCAAAAAAACGTAATCAACAGTCATCATCATCGTCATCATCTATTAGCAAACGTTCGTCATTAAAACGTACAACTAATAATGATTCATCCCTTACATTAACCAAAGATCAATCATCGATAGTAACAGATACATCTATACAAGTCATAACTCAAAGTATGAAATTAAAAACAAAAAAAGAACAAGATAATAAATTAAATATTTTTTTTTTTTTTTTATTAAGAATCTTCAAATTCAAATACAACATCAAATAATAGCAATGGTAGTTTACGTCGACGTTTTCTTAATCTACTTCGTTTTACGACTAGTCGTGCATCATCAACAACAACAACAACAACTCGTTTTTCACATCAACGAAATACATCTACAACAAATAATTCTTGTCAATCTTCAAAACAACAAATTTATTCTTTAACATCATCATCACAACCAATACATGATAAAAATTCTATAATATCAATAAAAGATGAAATTATTGAATCAATTGTTGCATCAGCAAATGAAAATGTTATTAATATAATTCCATCAACAACAACTTCAAATGATCATTTACTTGAAACTTGTTTATTATGTTATCATGATTATTCATCTGAACAATTTGAACATTTAACATTATGTTCACATTCATATTGTCAAACATGTTTTAAAAGTTATTTAAAATTAGAAATAAGTGAAGGTCGTATTACACTTAATTGTCCACATAATGATTGTCCAGAACGTATACATCCATGTGATATATCACGAATATTAGAAAATAATCCTGATCTTATATCAAAATATGAACAATTTATGGTACGACGTGTTTTACAATCAATATCTGATACACGTTGGTGTCCAGCACCTGATTGTGGATTTGCTGTTATAGCTTCAGGTTATGCATCATGTCCAGAAATTCAATGTTTACGACCAGGATGTAATACATCATTTTGTTATCATTGTAAAGCAACATGGCATCCAAATAAAACATGTGAAGATGCAGCACGTGAAAAAACATCAACTAAACTTCGTTCAGGTTCATTTATTAGTCTTGCTTCTGCTCAACAAAGTATGATATTAATTAATTATAAAATGAAAGAAAAATCATTGTTGTTTTCTTTTTTTTTTTTTTTTATAGAAGATGAAATAAAACAATGTCCAAGATGTCAAGCATCGATATTTAAAATGGACGATGGTTCTTGTGTATGTTTTCATAAGAATCTTGGTTTTTTTTGTTTTTGAAAGTCTTATTCTTCTCTGTTTTAGAATCATATGACTTGTCCTATATGTGAAGCTGAATTTTGTTGGTTATGTGGTCGAGAAATATCTGATTTACATTATCTTAGGTTAATACAATTATTGAATTTCTTAAATTTCGTTTATTTGGTTTTTTTGTTTTTATAGTCCATCGGGTTGTACATTTTGGGGTAAAAAACAATGGAGTAGAAAAAAAGTTATTCTTTGGCAAGTAGCTACATTAATTGGTGCACCAGTGATAATTGCATTAATAGCTGGTGTTGCTATACCAGGTGTTGTTATAGGTGTACCAATATGGGCTGGTAGAAGAATATTTAAAAAATTTAATAATAATAGAAATAGTAAAACAAAAAGAAATATCCTTGTCACATTAGGTGTTACAGGAAGTATAATAGCTTCACCAATAATAGCTACACTTGCTGTTGGAATTGGAGTTCCTATTCTTCTTGCTTATGTTTATGGGGTAAGAAGATTTTCTGTTGTTTTTTTTTTAATTTGAAGAAGAAACAAAAAAAATTGAAAATTTTAGGTTATTCCAATATCATTATGTCGTACAGGTGGTTGTGGTGTTGGAACACGAAATAATATTTTGGATGGTGATAATTCTAATATTGATAGTTTTTTACCATTTTCTTTACGTGACGTTGCTATTGCAAGAGCTTTTCTTAATGGTATAAATAAAATAAAAACAAAAAAAAAAATATATATATATATATACATATTTTTTGTAGATACACAAAGTGTAATGACACATCCAACAATTGGTGGTGATTCAACTAGTTTATCAAATAGTGTTGCACATCTTGTTGATGATCGTAGTAATGAAAGTACAAAAGCATTACCTGGTACAGGTGCTATATCACTTTGTGAAAGTTTACCACCATCAAATCGGTATGATTTAAAAAAAAAAAGAAAATTTGTTCATGAAACAATGATTTTTTTGTATTTTTCAATTAATTTAGTCTTGAAGTTCAAGCTGAAGTTAGTGATTGTAAAAGTTTTGATATTGAAAGTATTACAATCAGTGAAAAATCTTCGAAAACAATGGATAGTCTTAAAGCATTAGCGGGTTCAATTAAGTAAGTTTGTAATTAAAAAAAAAAAAGAAAAACTCATGAATATATTTTTCAAAATGACATATTCAAGCTTTTTTGTATTCGTTTTATTTAAAAACAATATTTCAATTAATATTTTCATAATAAAAATTTTATCACTTAAAGTTTTCTATGATAGATAAATGACAATAGATTCTTGTTTTTTTTTTGCATAAATATCGATCATGTATGATCTACATCATCTGAATAAGATCATCATTGAATTTTACCATAGAACCAACATCAAATTCTGTTTTTGTTTTTCTATACATTTAGAGATGCATGTACTGTACCTGGTGTTGAATATAATAATGATAATATTTGTAATATAAATGGAGATTCTACTGGTCGTAAATCAAGTCTATTAAGTAGTGCATCTGATTATGCTCGATCGATTAGTATAGAACAACAACAACAACAACAACAACAGTCGCATCATTCAAATATTATTCGTGCTGGTTCACCATATAGTGATAAAACAGTTTCATTTTTTGATGAACGTGTTAAATCGAAATCTAAGTAAGAATATTAAGATAAATAAAAAACTAAAAATCTTTTGTTGTTTGTTTTTGATTTTAGATCACAAATAGATCGTTATTGAAATTCATGGATGAATTTTATTTTTATTTTTTCTTTTTCAACGAAGAGATAATTGAAACTCTTCATAATTTATCACGCAGAAGAGAAGAAAAAAAAACAACAATAAAAAAATTTTTTTTTTCTTGACTCATCTATGTAGATATTATTCTGTATATGTCTGTCGGTTGTTTTCAGTGAATTCTTTCCTTTTTCTTTTGTCTATTCTCTTGTTCGTTTAAGCTTTTTCTTTTTGTAAAAAAAAAAAGATGAAGCAACTTATTCTTTTTTCTGGTTGTTTTTTTTTTTTTGTCTCTTTATACTCTTTGATTATAATTAATTTATTTTAAGAGTACTCTATATTTATTACGGATGAGAAATGAGAACATTCTTTATGTGTTTTTTTTTCTGTTTGTTTATGCATTTATGTAATATAAGTTTAAGAAAAAAAAAAAAAGGAAAGAATTATTCAACAAGCAAATCAACGTTTTGTTTTGTTTTTTTTTTAAATGTATAAAATGGATATTTTTAACTTAACATATCAGTGGAACCTAAATTTAGATTATTAGATCGAATTTTAGATTTTTTCTTCTTCCCAAAAAAAAGAAGGATCATTTTGCAAAAAATAGGACACCTATGACAGGTTTTTATCAGATTAGAAGTCTCAACTCATAGGATACATAAGTCAAGAACTTTTTCAAAACTTACAAAGTAATTAAAAATAAATAAAAGAAACATTCAAACGTATGAATTATTGTTCTATACTCAAAAGTAAATAAAAATCGTTTGATCAAATATTCAAAGTCATTTTTCAAGGATACAAAAAAACAAAAAAAAAACTTTAAAGACTTCATTAATAAAAATATATATTGTAGTATACGATGAGACTCTACATTAAGAAAAAAAAATTAATGTAATACAGAAAACTTAATGAGAGTTTCGTGCATAAGATGAAGCTTAAAAACATGTTTCAAGTATTGCAATAAATCCGAAACCTTTAAAAAGACTTATCAACAACATTGGCAAATGTTTTAAGAGTTTCATGTGCTTATGTATGAACAAATAAAAATCGTTTTGAATTCGTTACAATTTTTGAAGCCTTTTTTTTTGCAATAAAGATGACTGACACTTTGTTAGTCGATTCTTCTTCGATTAAAAAAAAACTTTAAAATTAATTTACAATCGAATAAAACATTTCTTATTAACGAGAAAATTTCTGTGAATATATGTTTTAGACTGAAAACATATTGCTCATTATAATTTGCACTGAAGTGTTTGTACTTGACAGAATGACAAGATTATATTAATGTCCTTAATGAACATATTATAATTATGTTTCTTTTTTCGGTTTTGATTATATGTCATGAGCTTGAAAATCTCCTATAGATGTCGTTGATGAGAAGTAAGTATGCTAATAATTGCATGAAAGAAATGTCTTTTAATCTTTGTAATAATATGATAATAATAAAACTCGTTTTTCTTTTTTATCAAGATGCATACGACTCACTATGAATAGATGTTTTTAAATTTACTAATGACATCTACAAAATATAATGAATTTTTAGGAAAAAAAAAATAATTAATAAATATTTCTTACTAATTAAATATTTATTATTAATATTTAATATAAATTTTTATAGAATAGATAAATTTTTATAAATTCAAAAAAAAAAAACAATTTCGCATTATAAAATCAAGTATAGAGAATTCGATACAGAAAATTAATTGGTTTAAAATTGAATACTTTTTCATTCTGGCCAGTGGCTATTCAAAAGAACCAATCAACATTTAATCAATCATCAATTTCTTCTTATTCGTTTCTATGCTAATCATTATTTGTTAATTACCAATACAATTAAATGTGATGAAAGAACTCATAAACATTTAATATTTATTATTCTAGATCGATGCTTTTTCTATTTCCGGTAATCTAAGGTATATTAGAATTTGATTCATTTTTTTTTTTTTTGGTTGTTTACATATTTGTTGATTGTCATGTGTTTTTTTTCTTTCAATCAGCAATGTTAAAAAACCTATGGCACCACATGAATTTGTTGAAATTCGAATTGTATGTAAAGCTGATTATCTTGATCCGCAATTAAAAATAAAATTGCATGAAATTAAAGATAGATTAAGGGAAATACTTCACACTGGTAAAAAAAATTTTTTCTTTTTTTTTTTTGATGATTCATATTTAGGTCGAAGAAGATTTGCATTAAAAAAAGTGCAGCCGTGGAATAGTGTTAAAGTTACTTTTGATATTCCGAAAGAGGCAGCTGATCAGTTACATTTACTTGCTATACAAGGAAATGTACGCCTCATCGAACTCGGAATACTTAGTGTGGAAATTGTTGGACAATCGAATGCTATTGTAGTTAATAGCAATAATAATACTAATACTAATAATAATAATAATAATAATGCATCAACGACAACTAATCCAACAACGAACAGTATGTTTTAAATTGTTATTTTTTAAAAATACGAAATTGTTTTTTTTTTTTTTGTTTTTACAGGTAAAGATTTATCTATGTTATCATCATCATCAACAACAACAACAGCAACAACAAAAATTCCAATTGATTCTCTTGAATCAACTGTTCCTCCACCACCTTCAACAAATAATTTTTCATATGATAATAAAACTGATGATCATAGACATAAACGTGTCAAATTAGAAAATGGTAATGATCAACAAAATTATTCAAATTTAAATAATTATTCATATAAAACTTCTTTAACAACTGTTAATCTCATGCAACCACCATCCACAATTGGACATCCTATTGGTCATTATATATCACAACAACAACAACAAACTCCACAAATTCTTCATCGACAACCACCAACATCAACGAATAATTATGGACGATTAACATATCCAAACAGTATTTCACCAACACATCCTCCCACTTATTTAAACAGTTAAATGAAATAAAAGAATAAAATAAAGATCTTATTTTGTTTATTTTTTTAGGTGGTAAACCTCCTCCTCCTCCTCATCCATATCAAACTTCATCAACAATGGATAATAATAATACAACATTATCAAATGGTATTAGTAATGATATACATAATTATCATCATCATCATGATTCATGGTCAACATATGTTGATCATTCAAATAATTATAAAATGAAAGTTAATGGTGTATTATCAAATCATTATTATCCTCAACAACAACAATCGGATAGTTCATCATCAACATCGAATATTTATTGTACACAACAACAAACACAATATGATATGAGAAGATGTGAAACAAATTTAACACAAATGACAACATCAACAACAAATATACAAAATTCATATGGTAGAAATTATTATTATTAAAAAAATTTATATATGAGATAATTTTTTTTTTTTTATTAATTTTAGATGGTTCGTCAACTGGTTTATCATCTTAAAATATTTTTTAAAAAGTTAATATCCGGCCGTTGATAACAGTGATTGAATGAACGCATGTGTGTATATCATCCTTTATTATTGTTTATTTTCTCTAATCAGGTCGTTCCTTTTTCTTTTTCTTTTTTTTTTGTCTTCATATCCCTGAATGTGTATATTGAATGAAAACACAAAAAAAAGCCTATATGTACTTGTTGAATATAAAACGAAAATTTTTTTCTTTTTGTTCTTAAAAGCTAATCACTTAACTATTAAATGACACACACATACACATATATATATATATACACAGTGTTGAATGTATACTTTTTCTTTTTTTCGTAGAGTTATGATTTGTTTTTCTTCGCAAAATAAAAAAAAAGAAACGAGTTTATAACCTCGCTATACCATTCCACCCAACTAAACATAATTGATTCTTGAATTTTTTTTGGTCTTTAATTTTCTTTTTGTCTGATGACAATTACGTGTGTGTGGAAGATCTTTTGTCTATTGTTGGTTCTTTTTTTTTTTTTCTTTTTCTAGTGGTGTATGTGCCATACGCCTATGTATGTGTGTATGTTCGTTCAAATTACTTCATATGTTTTCTTTTTTTTTGTTAACAGCAAAAAAAAAAAAAAAAGAATTGTATATAAAATCAACGAGTGTGTGCGATTCTTCGTTGTTCTTCTGCTTCATTTCTTTGTTTTTTTTTTCTTTTTCTTTTTTTCTTTTTGTATTCGGATTTTTATGCTCTATATTCGATGCAAGCTCATTCATTTTCTTTCTCTTTTTTCTCGTGCTGTCTTTGTCTTTGTGTGCGTGTGTGCGCGCGTGTATTCGCTTGTCAAGACTTGATGATAATATAAAAAGAACGTCAACAACAAATAAACATAGTTCGAATCAATTATTAGTTTTTATTTTTTTATTTTTTATTTTTATTTTTATTAGTCTTTTCGTAATTGTTTTTGAAAATATTCACCTAATTTAATTGTCCCATACATATCCCCAAAAAATCTTGTTTCAGCAGCAACATTATAATTTGTATTACAATTAACATCATAAACATAAATATTTGTTCCATCATCAACCCATTCAATTCCAGCTACTTCAATTTGTCGTTCTTGTAAAAAAATTTCTAATTGTTTAATAATTTTTTTTTCATTATCAGTAAATGAATCATTTGATCGTACATTAAATCCATGTTTGATTTCATCAGTACTTTGTTTAACTAATTTATCATCAAGTGTTTTTCGACATGCATCACTTGGACATAATTGAAAACCTTGTCGTGTATCAACTTCAATAACATACATTAATTTATAACCAATAAATTCTGCACGATTAATAACTTGTTGTGGTGATTTAATATATTCTTGTAAAAGATAAATACCATCAACAGAAAATTCATCATCAATATTATTATTTATTGAATTTTCAAATTGTTTTTCAAGTTGTTTATCATCAATAAATAAATGAACACCAAGTCCTTTTCCTGCTCGATTATGTTTACTAATAAATGGTGTCCATATTTGTGTTGTTTCATTAAAAAAAATTTCTCGTGCAGTTTTTTTTAATGTTTCAATAAAATTTTCTTTTATTTTTGATTCTTGTTGATTAATTGATGTTGCACTTGCAATAAATGCTGTATGTGGTACACGAATATGACTTTTTGTTAATTCAACATATTGTTTTACTTTAGATAATTCAAGTGTTAGAGCTCGTTGATCATTAATAATTCGACATGAATGTAATGAAAGATAATCGAGAACTTGACCTGTAATTTCACAGGAAAAACGATGATTACGAGTATGTGAGGATGGTGAAATACGATTAAAATAAATTGCATCATCATCAGGCGGTTTATTTAATGAATAAGTATGTGTCCCACTTAAATTCCATTCGATAAAAGGTAATTGAAGCTTTTCAAATGCCTTTCGGAATGGAGGTAACCATACATCATTTTCATGAATAATATAAACGGTCATTTTGGTATGTTTTATACGAAAATACAAAGTTGCATAATATATAGCTATATATTTGTTGAATCACGTTGACAGAACGTGCTCTGTCAGTATAGAACGAAATTTTTCTATTCTGCTTGTGATAATTGTTTTTTTCTTATTGACCTTGTGTTTTTTTCAGATGACAGATTTAAGAACAACTAACAATGATGATGCAAATATTATTATTATATTAGATACATTATTAAATGATGTTCGATTATGTATAGAAAAATGTCGAATATATAATAAAATACCTGGAATTGGTAAACTTGAAAGAAAATTTCGTGCCGAAGATAGATTTCTAAAACGTGTATGTATTTTATATTTTATTCTTTTCTTTTTAAATTAATTTTTATTTATCATATAAAAATAAATATATATATTTAATGAATAGAAATTAATTACATATATGAAAAATCAAAAAATTTCAAGAATTTTACTTTTTTGTTTTTTACATACATTTACAAATAAGAATCGTTTAAATAATAATAATAATAATAATAATAACTAGTTGATATACAACATTGACCTTCGTAGTTAAGATCAACCTTTGCATATCTATATGATAAGTGTAGATTAGGAACATTACAAAAAGAAAAAGATCTTAGTCATCATAATTATATAAGCAAAATTTCTATATATATCTTTATCTCCGGATTAAATATTGAAAAAAAAATCTAATTTCTAGCTTCGCGCTGATACAACTGATGTTAATGTTAATCATTTAAAAAGTTCAAATTTAACTCATTTACGAGCTGTTCTTGAACAAATTGAAGAAATTGGTTCGGAAAATGTTAATGGAGTAAGTTAATATTATTATTCATATTTAAAAAAAACAAACAAACATATGATTAAAATTAATTAATATAGGTTTTAGTACCATTTAAAGATAATCGTTCTCAATTACTTATTTGTGAATTAGTTTATAATGAAGGTCGAGCATGGATGAAAGTAATTGCTAGAAATGCACAAGCACTTCATCTTATTTGGAAAGTAAAAAATCTTCTAAAAAAAAAAATTCGTCTTAGACACATTGTTTTTTTCTTCTTCTAATTAAATAATTAGGGCAATGGTCATTATGGACAACGAAGTATTCTTATATCAATGAGACAATATCTTGATACAGCACGTTCTAATGAAATACATTATCAAACACCAGATATTGTCTTTTATTTTGTACAAGGTGTTACAGAACCATTAGCTAATTTATTAAAAAAACATGGTATTATAGTCAAAGTAATTATGAATTAAATAGAATATATAATTTAAGTTTGAAAACAAAAATAAAAAACCAATTTTGCTTTAGGGTTCAATTGTTGAAGTAAATGAAGACGTTGAAAAACGTTTACAAATCGTTGATGATGTTAGTTCAAATGATAGTGATGAAGAAAGTGAAAGTGAAACTGATGATGATGATGATGATGATGATGATAATAATGATGATGAAGTTAATAATAATAATAATGATACAGAATTAATGTTATCACATGAACCAAGTAAAATAAATCTTGATGTTAGTACATTAATTTGTCTTGTTTCGGAATTAACACATGGTGGTCATATATATCGATATCCAAGTAAATGGCTTGAAGTACCAGCTGAATTAGAACGAGCTGAACGTCTTGCACCGAAACTAGAAAATTATATGAAAGGTATTGATTTTTTTTTTCATTTTCTTATTTCTTTTAAATTCATATATTTTTTTTTGCTTTGGTGTTTTATGAATAGGAAAAGAATTATTTATATGTCAAACAGCATTTGAAGAATTTAATTCAATTATTAATACAGTTGGTGGACCTAATGAAAAAAAACGAGCAGAGGAACTATTTAAACGAGTATATGAACTTTTTGTAATAAAAGATGTGCAGGATCAGTTTTAGTTTAGATTATAATTTAAAGGATTCGGATTGATGGCCAACTAATGCAGAATTATGTCTATTTTCATGAAATTTTTACTTAGAGCAAGGTATTTCCGAAAAACTCAAAACGAAGATTTTCGAACTGAAATTTTGTTTATAGGTAGATATAATAGTCATTATATAGCCTAGAAAATTTCAAAGAAAACGAACTTTTCCTTGAATTTTTCTAAACTATATAATAACTATTAGATCTGCTTCTAGACAAAATTTCAGCTCGAAAATCTTTGTTTCGAGCTTTTCGGAAATACCTTGTTCTTAGTAAAAATTTCATTAAAACGGATATAACTCTGCATCAGTTGGCCATGAGTCTGAATCTTTGTAAGCTTTTCTTAGTCTCACAAGAACCTACTTATGGTCATTATATGAAATCAAACAACGTCCGATAGTTGAATATGCTACCTTGTGAGATCTGAATCACGAGAAAAAAAAGTTGTTTGAATCGAAACTGAAAATTGTAGTTAAATTTTCTATGATTTTTTTTTTTGTCGAAGTATATTATTAATCATATCAATTAAAGCGAAATTCAGGAGCCATGACAAAAAAAGAAATGAACATTCTGAGAAAGACCACAGTATTGTATTAAAAGAACTCGAAAGAATTCAGTATCTCGCCAGCACTAAGCTAATAGCAATAAATCTTTTCAGGATATTCAAAGCTCATTAGAATCTATATTATTCTGACTCGAAAGTGATTTATCACTTGAAAACCGCTCCTCGTAAACTAGATTCGATACTAATAAAAGTTTAATCCTGCATATCTCTATTTGTAATATATAATTTATTATTATCATTTATATTTAGCTTACTATTGTTCCTGATTGTCTATCAGAAAGATCGGCTGTTTTACAAGCAAGTGTTAAAATAAAACCTAGGTTTGATTAGTATAATGAAATTCTATCTAACATAACTTGTTATTGTATTTTCTAGAACAAAAATAATTTTCGGTACCGGAGATCATTTACGTGCAGTAACAATGACAGCTAATAGAGGTTTTGTTCGGGCAGCAGCACAACAAGTAAGTTCATCGATCGCGTTTAATTAGGTACACCTCATCTTATTTCCAGGGAATACATTTTGTTGTTTACGTTCATGATAATATTCCATTAACATTCAAAAGATTTATGAAAACACATCCATCATTGTCAGACGCTGTCGAGTCATTTGAACAACAAAATTAACGGTGATAACAGAATATGAAATTTGTTGTTTGAGATCGATATTTGGTTTTTGTTTTCTTTTACTCATCATTGTTTTTCATTTAGAAAAAAAAAAGTAATCTGTGTTTTTTTTAATAATTGTATTCTTTTTTTTATAGGGTGTTCCTTTTGCTGTATATTTACATGAATCACGAGCATTAACCGAGCAACAACTACAATGTAATCCATTACCTTTATTTACACAATCAGAAGAAAATGTTTGAATTTAGTGAAAAAAAAATATATTGGTGCTATTGAATACTTATGAGTGATATTTTTTTTTTATAATTCTAACCTGCCCTCTAAGCTTTTCAACGATTCTTTTTTTTTCAATATTGTTGCTATTTGTATTCTTTCGTTGCCCGCACGGTTATTTTTTTTTTTTTGAAAATATATAAATCTAGAAACTTGGAAAAAAGGAGAAAATAATTTAAAATATGATCTTGTATACACGAGCAGTACGAAATGGTAATTTTCTTTAATATACAGATCGAATTGAATTCTGTGAAATAAGAATATCTAACATGTAAATAATGATGCCCATTATATTTGTATCAAATATATTTGCCAAAGTAATTATTTAGTATGAATAGTTTACAACGAAATCAATAATGAATAATAAATGTAATGTAAAATGTCATGGTTATATTCAAATAACGATACACCTTTTGATAATGAAAAATTCTTTTTACTTACAATAATATTTTTGTGTTCGAAGAAGTTTTTTTTTTTTTTTTGAAGAATCATCAGCTACTTTATTTTGATCCATTGATTAATTTATAAAACTAAGGTGGTGAAAAAAAAGTTTAACACAACAATGTATTTGTGGTATTTTTCTATAATATTAAGCACCTAGTTCAAATCCAGATAGTGATTTTAATAGCCAATGGAATTTTCTATTGAATGCATTCTATACAAAGATTTCATAGATGAACTATGATGGCAAGGTTTGTAAAAAATCGGACACAGTAGTTTTCAGATCCCTGAGGACTTTGTTGGAGTTGTTTTTATACAATGCCAGTTAAAAGAGCACAAAGGTCTGATCAGAATGAGAGATCATCGCAATTTCTGCGACCTCCCTTTAAAAACTTAAAAGTATCACAAAAACCGAGAAAAGACGATTTTTTGATAAAATTCGTTTTTTTACAGTTTCTGTGACGCTTTTAAGTCTTTAAAGGAAGGTTGTAGAAATTGCGACAATCCCTCATTTTGTTTAGAATTTTGTGTTACTTAAAATGGCACTGTAAAAAAGTAGCTCCGGTAAAGTTTTCTGGGACCTGAAAACTATTGTATCAGGCTTTTAGAACCCTTTCTATCATGGTTCATCTCTGAAATCTTGGTATAGAATGCATTCGATAGAAAATTCCATTGGCTATTAAAACCACCATCTTAATTTGGGTCAGGTGCTCAACATTATAAAAAAAACCAAAAATCCGTTGTTATAAAACTTTTTTCCACCACTTTAGTTATGTCTGATCTTATTGTTGTCTTATAGAAGATCAACAATTATTAAATTAATTAAATCATTTTTATGATTTTTCTCTTACTACAACAAAAGTTTTCCGCCTATGCTTGTGTACTTCATCGTCGAAACTCGCGCCGAAATCAATATTATCGACACGAATGATCGCCTAATACCTTTCGATCGTCCATATTCGTAAGTTTCGTTACGAAGACCGTTCCTTATATTATATTCACTCTTTCTGAATATTTATCATCTATATATAGTGAAGGTATCATCATCATAATATCGCCGATAGCTTCGGTCATCGAAATGAAGATTGTCCAAAGCAAGCATGATCGATAATCAAATTGCCGACAGTGACATAGCCGAAATGTAAATCACTGAATTTCAGCGAAGAGAATATCGACTGTCTATTTCGTTTTTCATAAAACATATTGTAACTATCATGGTTCTACCTATAAAGACATCAAGGACAAAAAATAATTATATAAGCGGTCATATATTGAAATAACACATACATTTTTATATGTTGGTTTATGACTTAACTCGTGTCATATCAACAAGAGAAAGCGTGACTAGATTAAGTAAAAACATAATGTGACACTTATCATTTATTAATGATTGGTGTTAGTTTGTTTTTCAGTGTCAACAAAGCCTGGAATAAGTAAGAAGACATGTTTATTTGTACTTTATATTGAAATAAAGATGAAAAAAGACGTCATTGAAAAGTATGTATGGAAATAAAAAAAAAGATAAAGAATTTGTCATGATTTGTATAGACTATAAAAAGAGAAAATGAAAGATCATGCATATAAGAAAAAAAATAACAGAACGAAATATACAGTTCGTATTTTTATGTTGAAATCAACCGTGATTATATGAATAGAAACTAAATAATTCGAAAATGATGGACAACTATAATTTTTCACGTCGTTCTTCATCTATTAGTTTATCTAATCTAGAAGAAGATGTTATTAAAGCAGAAATTGATATCGTTAATGCAACTGCTAATGTTACTGTACCATTAAGTGAATGGCGTATAAGATTTCGTAGACTTTGGCATAACTATCATTGGCGTATGAGACATTATTTTTATTTACATTTATTAGTTTTCTTTTGTAATACACTTATATGTGGTGTTATTGTATGGAGTATTGAAAAATATAAAGTTCCTTATATTGATTGTTGGTTTCTTAGTGCAACATGTGTATTTACATGTGGATTACAAACATATGATTTTGCGTCACTTAGTCGATCATCTCAAAGTATTTTACTATTTTATACATGGATATCTGGTAAATTATATTTAAAAAAACTTTTTTTTTCTCCACTGATAGAGGAGACCTGAGAATTTTTTCATAGGAAAACTGTCAATAGATGCTTCTTTGAGGTATCATTTTTCAATAAAATACAAAAAAAAAGTGAGCCCGTTAGTTTTAGTAAAAATCGTTCCTGCTCAATTGAGATCAGCAGACTCAGATGAATTGGATATATTTAATAGAGGGAAACGTTTTACTAATATTGGCAAAAGTCATTTTAAAATATCTTGAACCGTCGATTTTCAATGAATTTTTTCTAACAACTCTAAAATACCAGTCTTCACAGAAAATAAGTATATTGATGACTCAAGAACGTCTTGACAAATGAAGCTGCAACTTTAAGCAAAGATAGATATCCTATGGTTCTATTTACAGTAAAAATTTCAAACATTCATCTCTTCCTGGCCACGAGATATGAAGCACCAGATTTACTTGAAACCATGATTTAAGTGAGCCCACTGAAATATCCAGAATTCAATAGTTCAATCTGAAAGTTATATTATGTGTACAACTCCACAGTATGCACATTCACAAAAAGTTTCAGCTTGATTTATCAAGTCGTACTTGAGACCTCAATACACTCACTTGCTGCAAGGACTATTATTTTAGGATTTTTAGAAAAAATTCATTAAAAATCGATGGTTCAAGATATTTTACAACGACTTTTGCCAATATTCATTAAACTCTTCTCTCTATAAAACATATTCAATTCAGCTAAGTCTGATCATCTGAACTGAGCAGGAGCGATTTTTTGAATAGAACTGATGGACTCACATTTTTTGTATTTTATTGAAAAATGATAGCTAAAAGAAACATCTATTGATAGTTTTCTTATGAAAAAAATTCTCTAGTCTTCGCCATCACTGGAGAAAAAAAACAAATGCGATCCATTGAATCGATATGAAATTATTGAATATTTTTTATCGTAAAGATATTTATGACAGACCATGTATATAGATGAACAATATATTTAGGTATAACTGTTAGTACAATTCCAGCTATATTTATAAAACTTTATCGAGTTAAAAATGAAATAATAAGTTCTGAAGAATCAAGAACAAGAACAAATGATAATGATATATTACCAATACAAAGATTTGTTCCTAATCAAAGTATTGATTCAGATTTACATGAACGTATTCGTTTATTACCAAGTCCACATAATCTTCGTGTTACAGCTTATATTTTAATGATTGTACTTATTTTATCAACATGTTTTGTTATTTATTTAACATCATTTATTGCTATGGGTATTTGGCTTAAATATCATTATGAATCAAAAGATTTATTACAATCAAATGTAACTATGAATCCATTTTATGTAGCAATTGTTATTACAATAACTGGTTTCAATCAAAATGGTTTATCACCTTGGTAAGAAAAGATTTAAAAGACAATAATAAATATAAAATTTATATCTTTTCTTAAGGACAAATGGTATTGGTTTATTTGTTAATGATATTTTTATGAATATTTTTATTATTATTATTGTTATGTCAGGTACTTCATTATTTCCAGCTATAATTCGTGGTGTTGTTGTTTTATGTAAAACAATTGTACCGTAAGTTGAAAAAAAAATTCTTTTTTTTTTCTCTTGAAGTAATAAAAATAATTTTAGTTGGCGTTATAAAATATTTTTTGATTATATTTTATTAAATAATCATCGTTTATCTGCTGTTATTTTTCCATCAATTCAAACACGACTTTATGTTACTATTACAATTTTATTACAAATATGTAAGTTATTATTATATTAAAGAAAATTTATTTTTTAATTAAATTTTAGTGGGTGTTGTCGTTGCATTAATACTTGATTATCATAATAAAAATTTAATTCAATATAAAGGAGGAACACGATTTATGATATTTATGCTTGAAATAGCTAATACTCGTTTTGCAGGTAAATAGATTTAATTTATAATATAAAAACAAAAAAGTTGTTAGCACAACCACTGCAAGATTAAAATATGAAACATAATGTAGCTATTGTTGCTAATCACAGGGAGATTGTTTTATTCTGTTTACTTTTCTTCACCCTCTTTTTACTTCATCCTGCAGATATGCAATAAGGAAGTAGTTCATATATTATAACGAGACGTTATTCATATACAATCTTTGGTCGTGTATTAATAAAGTCTATCGTGATCTGTGATGATGTCATTGCTAACGAAAAAACTACCTCAAATGATACTTACTGTTTGAGCTTATATTGGACCTACAAGTAGGCCTCAGTGAGACTAGTAAAAGGCTCGTTCCCATGGGCTTTTAGCGTCGAGTTATGATCGGTTCACTGATTTTTCGACAGAGATTTGATACTTCGGGAAGCACCTACAAATGAGTCCGAAAATCCAGTAAATTGGTCATAATTCTGTGGCAAAGGGCCTACGGGAATAAACTATTTTCGGCTTTTGCTAGTCTCAATGAGACCTGCCTGTACGTCCAATATGAACTCAACGGTGGATGTTAGTTGTGGTAGTTTCCTTGTAAGATGTCTGTCATAGTCTGTGAGGGAGGGAGTGGGTGCAAATTGCTACCTTATACGTTTCAACACTCCTTTCAAATTATGTTTCACAAAAAAAAATGATATATGTCTTAATAGGTTATGCAACAACTGATATAAGTTTACTTGCATCGGGAACATTGATTATATTTGTTTTATTAATGGGTGTTAAACCTCAAATGGTATGTATATATATATATATATTTAGTTTTAATCTTTACAAACAAAAAGAACATTTGTTTTTTTTTTTTTTCATTAAAGTTATGTGCTATTGATGAAACTCCATTTGAAA